CAAAATAAACCATTTATAATATGTTGTGAAGTTTGTTGTGGGTTCAATATTCAGTATCCATGCCAGTGGTAATCTCTTGATTTGAAACTTTAAACTGTTCTGTGAATTGTACCTTTTGCACAAATTTCACTGATTTAAAAGAATATGTATTCAATATTTGGAATGTGGCAATTGATAGCCATCTTCTGTAAAAGAGTTTGTTTTGCATGTGATGGATTAATAAAATCTGTAATGTGTAACTGAGATTGGGGTATCTCAGTAGAGGGCTAAGATCCAGTAATATCCTAACCTTTACTAACGCCTCGATTGGGATTATGTTACAGGATCTTAGCCCTTGACTGAGATACGTTAATCTCGCTCCGTTACAGGTAATAGATTTTTTTTCTCGAACCTACTACTCAGAAAATGCTTCAATATTTCATCAGAGTTTGGCGTATCCCGTGGGAGCCTCAAACTTCCCACACAGCCTCGTCACTTTTGAATAACATTTGGATATTGCTATGTAAAAACAATGTAGGTAGCACTTATAAAAAATACAACACATTTTGAAGATCTTATTTTATCTTTAACATCAGAAATCTTAACAACATCAAAAAATACACAAAACAGATAACATAAAGCAGATAAAGCAGTAAATTTTGAAGCGATTTCTATATACCCTGGGTATATACATTCCTACATGTGGATGAATACATCAATGCATAAAAAATTCTGCGAAAATGTATGTAAGGGTACTAGACAGGTCGGGCAAGATAGAAAAATCTGGGATGGGGTATTACTTGGGATATCCCTGTCTGAGGTGCGAGAGATATACATATATCATTTAAAGTTGTGAATGTATATATTTTTAACATGTTCAGTAATTTCAGTAATTTCAGTAATGGATTGTTGCTTTCCATTAGTCCCATGCTCTGCATTATAATTGCTCTTTCTCAAGAAGTAATAATTATAGATCTTTGTCAAATTTCCCACTGAAGTTCTCCTTGGTCCCTTAATGTGCCCTTTTAATTTGGAGATTTTGTTGATAGAAGTTTATCCCTATTTCTTAAGATGTGCAGGGTGGATCAAATGTAGATTTCTCTTTGTCCCTTGTCGTGTCTTTTTGATTATAAAAGTGATCAGAAAAACTGACAAGCATGCAATTTGGAGTATAAAAGTTTGTTATTTGAAAGGAAAACCTGTTTTCTGTCCTTTTGCCACATCACTTTTTATCTGTGTGGACTTGGAGGGTGATTTACTCTGCTGGATCCATGAAGTGGAAAAGAGGGAGCTCCATCACACTCTACTGCATGCATTAACTTGTGAAAAAGTTATGATTACAAAAAAAAAATTATAGCAATTACGGAAACACTTTATTTTAATTGGATAACGAGAAGAATGAAAAGAATTTCAAAACATTGATTCAATAAATTCATTGTCATAAAACACATTGCCATAGATTTTTCTTCAAACTGTGAACAAAAAATAACTAAACATGATCTCAAGACTGATTTCATGACATTCTTATCTGTTCACAGAATTTTCACAACATTTTCAAGGCTTTTTCATGGTGAATAATTCCAGTAGTGACTGATGTACAAAACTAACACTGGTGATGTTCAGCATAGTTTATTGAATACCATAAGATGATATAAAAACTTTGTATATCTTTTATTTTAAATAGATATACATAATATTTTTTGATGAAACAATAAACAGAAAATATGTACATAGAAACCGATGTTTTAGATAACGAATCTCTAATACAACCTAAATGTCAAACCTGTACAAAAAGAATTATGTCAAGATATACCCTTGAGCTGCGTCATGGTTTTCTATTAATAAGTTTAAAGTTACCATAGAAACACTCCTTAAGCATCAATCTTCTGATTTAAGAGTAGAATCTTATATAAACAGGACATTCATTATTCTTAAGTCAAGTGCTAATAATTAACACCTTAAATTTGGGATTAAAGGATTACATGGTAAAATTTTGAAATTTTACAGAGGTATCCTTTCTTAATGAAAAAAATTAATTGTGAACTTTGAAAATTTTTTAAATATATTTTTTTATTCAGTAATTAAGTAGTACCAAAGTAATTTTTTATCAAATGTTTATTTGACATGTGTGTTTTACTGCTTACCATTATCGTAATGTAAGGTAATTGTATATATGAAATGATTTGTCCTTCTTTCACTGCATGTCCATGCTTAAAACTTTTTGCTGTTTTAAATTTAAAGAGTTCAATCATGCTCAGTGGGAAAGTTTCCATTCTAATTTGAAATAGGGTGAAGATGGAGGATTCTGGACTTTTCTGGAATGTACAGGAAACCCTGTGACCATGAAACATACATTCTCCATTAATTATCTATCAAGTCATTCTGGAAAATTTTAATCTGATAAATATTGCTTTTAATATAGTTCCTAACCTATAAGCTAAAAATTGTTTGAAAAAATATTTCAGCAGTTGTTTAAAAACCCAAGGGAAGGGTTTCTCCAAAAGTCATTATCCCATGTGTGTGTAATTATGGACAAAGCTTGGACATAAACACATTCCTACAGGCTGTGAGCCATTACATTGTACAAAAATATTAATCAAATCCAATAAATAATTTATAATTACTGAATATACACACAGTGAAACCTCAGATAATAGGCTAATATATTAACACTTAAAAGTTTTGATATAAATCTTCATCAGCAAAATATTATATTTCATGTTCTTAACACAAAACATTTGGGTGTACAAATAAGCACACTAATAAATATAGGATCTTGATTGAGTTTTCATTTCATATAAAATTTTATGAAACAAGTCTTGGAAAGTTTTCTTTTTAGGAGCTTTAGTGAGTAAAAGTCTCATCATTGAGGTGGTTCCTTAAAATCTCATATGAAACGAAAACAAATCTAAGATACTGGTGCAGCCAATGGAAAATGCTTTAGGGTATATTACACTAGTGACAACGACACAAAAATTCTGACAAATTCACTGGATACATAATATAACAGGCAGACTATGTGATAACTGATACAAGACAGATTCGATTGAAGGATTTCTACTTAAAACATGCAATAATATCATGGAAATATCTGTTAATGTCAAAATTCAAACACATTATTTATACTGTCATACATATACTTGTATATCTTAAAGCACAATTTACTTTCTAACTTCAAACTGCATACAAAACATAAATCAACAACTAAAGTATGTTTTGACAGTTTGAGTTCATTGTTTATCAGCAGATATTCTTTTTCAAGGCAACATTTAGTTCACTCAAAATGACCTTAAAGTTCACATGTCTGTATTTATTAGAAAAAAATAAATATAAAGATCTGGGAAAGAAAAAAATTAGATGCGTAAGTGACAATAAAACATAGATTGAGCTTGGTTTTCCTTAATTTGATGCTAGTTTTATTCACCTGTTTTTTCTGGAGTTTTCATTACAAGTCATGTTTTCTGTGCGGAATATAGATCTCGTTTACAGTTAAAGTTCTATAAACCATTTTACAACAATAATTTTATAAATATACATCTAAGATGACATAAATTTCATGTAAAGCCATCATCACATCACTGATTTTAGGCAATGTTTGGCACCTTTACAAAGTTACCATCCTCCAAAGTTTGACACTGGTTTAGGATGTTCAAAAGAACATGCTATTTATACATTATGGTGGATGCTTATCAATATATGTCACAACAATCACATTGATCCTATAAACAGTAGGTGTAAAATCATTATTAGAAGATACCTTTCATCAAGTAGGGTGTGAAAAAAGAAATATTTAAATATCAGGAAACATAAGGTAAATTCATATATTTTGTGAGTTTCAATTTTCAAGGTTTTGATCAAAACATTTTCTGGACACTTAATTTTGTTGATAAATGTCGCCCAATAATTCTATTTACACTTATTTGAACAGTTTGTGGACAGATGGATTAAGAGTACCCACAAAATTACCTGAAATAAATCCCCTACAAAAATAATTATTTTAAAGTAATAGATCCACTATATTGGAATTACTACCTACAACACGAAAATCTCAAAGTGAGGGTGTTATGGTCTAATTGGAGGATTCGTGTTTGGGTTTAGCACCACTGTAAGCCATTCAAGAATCTTAGCCCAATGGTTGAGATTTCCGACAAGTTTTCATTGTACAGAATGACAATTTTTCTCACAATAAGTAATATGTGTCTATATGGTGAAGGACATTAGAATCTGTTGATATTCTAAGAAATCCTAATCAAATTTGCAGTTTTAATTATATTACTGTATAGCTATTTGATATCCTTAATTTGAACAAGAATTTGTATTATTTTAGAGGTACGGCACATTATCATATTAGAAACAGGTACGAATATAGATGTAAGGATGGAAATATTTGGATAAAATTAACAAAGCATCATAGAATAATACACTTGGTATGCAAGGATGTACATAACTCATGTTGTACACTTCTAGATAACAGAGGAAAACATCAACACAACCAAAGTAAATTGATTTTAATTGGCACTAGGCTAATGACTAAGAGGTGGATGTCAGTATTTACAACAGAAATCATGCTACCCGAGAAAATATACGAAAATGACACAAAGAGCAACACATGAAATGTCATCAATGAAAAATAGTCAATACAATGTATAATAAATACTGAGGTAATAATGATGAAAACTTTATTAAAATGACAACTCTAAATACAAATTATTCATAATATTGATTGATAAAAGTTATATTTCAAATTAATATAAATCGAAAAATACACACCATAAGTAATATATCACAGCTTCTTTCAAAAATACCACTTTCACATTAATACACTGGGGAACTCTGTATCACAGTTTACTAGGAATCAATGATGAATTAGGAATCTGTTATCTTTACCATCACTCCATACCAAACATTCAATACGTCTCCACCTTTGCTGTCACAGCTACAGGCCATCAACATGGCCTCATTCTTGCTTCTGGTATTACATCACAACTTGAAACAAGAAGCTAAGGTAAAGTTTGGTGAGGGCTACTATAGACTGTGAAACACAAGGCAGCAGTACTTTGGCATAGTTTGGCTCTACAGGATCCGTTTTCTTGCCCAATAAAACCATGTGGTGACATATATCCTCTTCATGCTGGTCTTAATTAAACCAACTCACCACATCACACTACCAACACAGAGTTACTTATTAATACTGTTTGTATGCAAGAAATACTTCTTATTTTTGGTTTAAGAAATTTCAGCTAAACACAACAGCATGGTTTTCCCTTAGTTCCAGTTGCCGAAGTCTCAAGTTATTTGTGGCACCACGTATCCGCTGGGACTTGGTCGACCGCAAGTGGGCTGAACTGCCTTGGCTCTCTGGCATCGACTGATTGGATCCCACTCTAGTTATGGATAATGCTCCTGGGGATTCAAGTTCTGACCGGGAGGCGAGTTCTGGGCGCTGGACTACAGGTGCAGGGGCCGAGACCACTGATAGACCCTGCGGCCCACAATTAGCTGGGACTCTGGGTAGGTCTGTGAAAAAAGAATTACAATGGACATGTATATAGTAACTGGTTAGGACATCTATAGTTTACAACAGATTTACAATACCATCATGAAAGGATTAAAAGTATCTAAATATATTTCAAATTTTGATTCAGTTGATCTTTAGTTCTTCAGATGAAATGGACATAAAACTGATTTGATAACCAGTGCAAAAATAAATGGTGTATTACCACATGTTTTATCAATGGAGACTGAAATCACTTTGATAAAAATTACTTTTAATGAAAGAAAAAAAAAATCAGTTCAGGATAAATAATTCCTAATTTCAAGCATAAAAACCAGTAGAGAAAGTACAGAACAAAGGAAAATATGGACAATCGCAAGTAATATGGTCATGTGGAATAGTTTTATATTACTGATGAAAAGTAGATGCTAAAACTTCTACACATCAGCTGGAATGGTCTGTATTCAATAAGTATATAGTAGGATAAGAGATCCTAGATGGATCTTAACACCCAAATCAGTTCTTGTATGATCAACAAATATCTATGAATTATTATACCAGTTTTTTTTTTTCTCGTCTTCTTTCCACTTTTTTGCTCTTGATAATGGATGTAAAAATAAAGAATAATGATCCGAGCAATGCCAATGATAATCTTTAACTGTCAAATGCAAAATGGTCACCTGTCACATGACAACCATTTTGTTTTTCTGATCTGTTCAAAATGGATTTAATTCCACACTAACAGGCTAGGGAACAAGAAGAACTTACAATTCAAATTGTAGAATTATCCATCCGTTACTAATTCTCAAGAAACTTTCATTATAAAAACTCCAGGGGACTGCTTTTCAGCCAATTTTTGTTTTTATCATTAATCCCAAAATTATAACATCACAATTAGAGGGACCACGAGGAAACTACTTTTGAGGAAAATTCATTCAGATATTCCTAAGGTTTGTGGAAACAGGACTGACAATGAAAGAATGGGTAGAGGTTGGGTAATTTAAATAACCTACCATCTGTTAATAGTGAGTTTATGATTATTAAATAAATGTTATTTTCACATCAAGTCATGCTACTTTTAATACAAATAAATCAGTAGTAGTGATAAAGATACTGATAAAGCAGGATGAATTTACCAACAAACAACATTAAAACATGTCAGTTCATTACCAACAAGGCAACAGCTGATCAAAAGGAATCAATGGCTTCAAGTACCTTCTCCTATAATCTAAACCTTTTCTCTTGTCGATAAGGTTGATTTGGAAATGGTCCATGTCCTGACCCCAGTGTTGTCACACTGTATTAGTGGTCTGTGTCCTGACCCCAGTGTTGTAACACTGTATTAGTGGTCTGTGTCCTGACCCCAGTGTTGTCACACTGTATTAGTGGTCTGTGTCCTGACCCCAGTGTTGTAACACTGTATTAGTGGTATGTGTCCTGACCCCAGTGTTGTAACACTGTATTAGTGGTCTGTGTCCTGACCCCAGTGTTGTAACACTGTATTAGTGGTCTGGGTCCTGACCCCAGTGTTGTAACATTGTATTAGTGGTCTGTGTCCTGACCCCAGTGTTGTCACACTGTATTAGTGGTCTGGGTCCTGTCCTCAGTGTTGTAACACTGTATTAGTGGTCTGGGTCCTGACCCCAGTGTTGTAACACTGTATTAGTGGTCTGTGTCCTGACCCCAGTGTTGTAACACTGTATTAGTGGTCTGTGTCCTGACCCCAGTGTTGTCACACTGTATTAGTGGTCTGGGTCCTGACCCCAGTGTTGTAACACTGTATTAGTGGTCTGGGTCCTGACCCCAGTGTTGTAACACTGTATTAGTGGTCTGTGTCCTGACCCCAGTGTTGTCACACTGTATTAGTGGTCTGTGTCCTGACCCCAGTGTTGTAACACTGTATTAGTGGTCGGTGTCCTGACCCCAGTGTTGTCACACTGTATTAGTGGTCTGGGTCCTGACCCCAGTGTTGTAACACTGTATTAGTGGTCTGTGTCCTGACCCCAGTGTTGTAACACTGTATTAGTGGTCTGTGTCTTGACCCCAGTGTTGTCACACTGTATTAGTGGTCTGGGTCCTGACTCCAGTTTTGTAACACTGTATTAGTGGTCTGTGTCCTGACCCCTGTGTTGTCACAGTGTATTAGTGGTCTGGGTCCTGACTCCAGTGTTGTAACACTGTATTAGTGGTCTGGGTCCTGACCCCAGTGTTGTAACACTGTATTAGTGGTCTGGGTCCTGATTCCAGTGTTGTAACACTGTATTAGTGATCTGTGTCCTGACCCCAGTGTTGTAACACTATATTAGTGGTCTGTGTCCTGACCCCAGTGTTGTAACACTGTATTAGTGGTCTGTGTCCTGACCCCAGTGTTGTCACACTGTATTAATGGTCTGTGTCCTGACCCCAGTGTTGTAACACTGTATTAGTGGTCTGTGTCCTGACCCCAGTGTTGTAACACTATATTAGTGGTCTGTGTCCTGACCCCAGTGTTGTAACACTATATTAGTGGTCTGTGTCCTGACCCCAGTGTTGTAACACTATATTAGTGGTCTGTGTCCTGACCCCAGTGTTGTCACACTGTATTAGTGGTATGTGTCCTGACCCCAGTGTTGTCACACTATATTAGTGGTCTGTGTCCTGACCCCAGTGTTGTCACACTGTATTAGTGGTCTGTGTCCTGACCCCAGTGTTGTCACACTGTATTAGTGGTCTGGGTCCTGACCCCAGTGTTGTAACACTGTATTAGTGGTCTGTGTCCTGACCACAGTGTTGTAACACTGTATTAGTGGTCTGTGTCTTGACCCCAGTGTTGTCACACTGTATTAGTGGTCTGGGTCCTGACTCCAGTTTTGTAACACTGTATTAGTGGTCTGTGTCCTGACCCCTGTGTTGTCACAGTGTATTAGTGGTCTGGGTCCTGACTCCAGTGTTGTAACACTGTATTAGTGGTCTGGGTCCTGACCCCAGTGTTGTAACACTGTATTAGTGGTCTGGGTCCTGACTCCAGTGTTGTAACACTGTATTAGTGATCTGTGTCCTGACCCCAGTGTTGTAACACTATATTAGTGGTCTGTGTCCTGACCCCAGTGTTGTAACACTGTATTAGTGGTCTGTGTCCTGACCCCAGTGTTGTCACACTGTATTAATGGTCTGTGTCCTGACCCCAGTGTTGTAACACTATATTAGTGGTCTGTGTCCTGACCCCAGTGTTGTAACACTGTATTAGTGGTCTGTGTCCTGACCCCAGTGTTGTCACACTGTATTAATGGTCTGTGTCCTGACCCCAGTGTTGTAACACTGTATTAGTGGTCTGTGTCCTGACCCCAGTGTTGTAACACTATATTAGTGGTCTGTGTCCTGACCCCAGTGTTGTAACACTATATTAGTGGTCTGTGTCCTGACCCCAGTGTTGTAACACTATATTAGTGGTCTGTGTCCTGACCCCAGTGTTGTCACACTGTATTAGTGGTATGTGTCCTGACCCCAGTGTTGTCACACTATATTAGTGGTCTGTGTCCTGACCCCAGTGTTGTCACACTGTATTAGTCTCTATGTAGCAATAGCCAATCACCAGTGTTAAAGTAAAAAAGACATTCTGTAGCTGTGTTTTACCAATATTTTAGTTTGATATAGCCAGAGAATCACGCTGAATAATAATTCAGTATCTTTAAATGTAACACATATATGTCAGTGATTTTCGTGATTGTTTCATTACATGCTTCTAAATGTTTTCTTAAGTATACCAGTACAAAAAGAATCTCTATACAGCAACTAAGACAGTGAAAATGGAATATTTTATACACAGATGTAAACAACAGTGGGATATGTATGAGGACCAAACTGGCCAATTATGACTTGAAACATTTTGTATGAGTTAATGTTAATAGTAAGAAGGACCAAAGCTTCACTCTAACAAGTCGAAGAATCTATTTCTTTATGGCATCGACAGCTATTATTAGGAGTATTGCTGATGGTATTTTGAAATATTTCAGGGGAAAAGATGCGCTCCACCAATGACTTCCTGTGGTCATCACCAAGGTGCTTTTTGTCATTTACTTATCTCTGTTATTGAATATTTTACCTGTATTTTGGTGATAAATAAAATGTTGTTATACAAGACTGACTTGACATTTTCCTAATTACAATCACAAAACTGGAAACATTTACAAGAAAGCAAGCCTTCCACCACAGCATCAGCTTTGACAAGGTTCAATGGAAAGCCCGAAACCTAGGACACAGCAACCCAGGCAATACGGGTTAACCCTGGTAACCCAAGCAATTTGAGCAATAACCAATGCAGGGGTAAGAGCTGGTAAACTTTCCACAGAAATGTGGTAACACCAAGTACTTACTGATTCCTGCTGACTCAGCGGATTTAGGGCTCTTGATTGACGTGTCCAGTGGGACACTTTCTGTTAGGATCAACATATCAGTGTCATTAAAATGATGTCAGATTATCAGGATTGAGTCAACATATCGGAGTATCAGGACTGAGCCAACAAATCATATTATCAGGATTGAGTCAACATATCGGAGTATCAGGATTGAGCCAACAAATCATATTATCAGGACTGAGTCAACATATCAGATTATCAGGATTGGGTCAACATATCATATTATCAGGATTGGGTCAACATATCTTGTTATCAGGATTGATCGACATATCAGATTATCAGGATTGGGTCAACATATCGGATTATCAGGCGTGGGTCAACATATCTGGTTATCAGGATTGGGTCAACATATCAGATTATCAGGTTATCAGGATCGGGTCAACAAATCAGATTATCAGGATTGGGTCAACATATCAGGTTATCAGGGTTGGGTCAACATATTGTATCTATTTTAGTTTCACATAGGTACATAAATACATTAACAGTCGATCTTCCACATACTCTTAATCGCATCAGGCTTTGTGTATTATTCTGTATTTATATACTTTTTTCTTCTTCTAAGAAAACATATCTATACATCATTGATTAATTTATCAATCATAAATTATTGATACAGCAAATATATATGAACTACAATGACTACATGTCAATACCAAATTTTATACACTCTTAGTTTGCTCTTTGAAAGTTGGATCTTTTCCTTTCTTTTCTCTTTCCTTCTTTGTTTTTACTCTTCATGATAAGAAATTCGAACATTTGTTTAAAAAATAGCAATGACAATCTTTACCTGAAAAATCCAAGGTGGCCACCTGTTGGCCATTTTGTTTTTCTGATTATAGTGAAAATTGAATGGGCACAACTACAGACTATGGGGATCCTACATAGGAATTTAAGAGAGGTCCATCCAGTACTTCTTAAGAAATAGCCATAACAAACTTTCAAAATCAAAATCCATGATGGCTGCCTGTCAGCCATTTTATTATTCTTGTCAGACCTGAAATCAAATGGGCACAACAATAAAGGGCAATACACATATGAAATTTAAGAGATCCTTCAAGGGCTTTTCAAGAGATAGTGATAACAAACTTCATAGAAAAATTCCGAGATGGCCACCTGTTAGCCTTTTTTTTTCTGATCAGTCCCAAGGTAGCAGTACACAGTTTCACAGTGTGGCCATAGGTGATATTTGTGTTAATTACAATTACTTAATTACTATTTGGGCAGTCTTGAATCTGTGTCTATGCACCAAAAACTAGCTTTACAAGAAGTGAAATTTTCATAGTGTTTACATGTGGTCATGTTATAAAGGATTTCCCAGTTGGAATGTGTTGAAATATATGTTGTTTGTTACCATGACAATGTTGTTGATTTTGAGACAGGTGTTTAGAAATAAATTTCTTTTATAAAGTTGTAGTGTTATGTTGGAATTAGCAGTATTTTTGCATTTTTAGCATTTTTCCACAATCACATGTTGGAAATCTGAAGAAATGTTTGATTTACACTAATTTTATCTCTCTGCTATTAAGGTAATTGTTATGTAGTTTATAAATATATATACATGTAAGAATTTATTTTTCATAACCAATCTGCTATACCTGTATATCTCAAACATGACCAATAATTTCAGGAAAAATGCAAATTAACTGTTTCCTGCTACCCAAAATCAAACAGGGGTTATGGAAACCTATCTATGAAATTTAAGAAAGATCCATAAAGTGCTTCTCAAGAAATAGTGATAAAAAAAATTATTTACCGACGGATGGACGAACAGATGGATGATAGACAGACAGACAACAGAAAACAGACATAGGTCAATTCAAACAGAAACTAGAAAACAGCTAATCTCTTTGGAGGGAACAGATTCATCTTTTAACTACTGATGTTATTCCCCTTTCTAACAGACTTTTCAGGAAAAAGAAAAGCAAACATTTCAAAATCTTAACTTTATCAGTTATAAATTGGCCCCTTCAGTCTTCAAAAGGGAGGTAACTGATAAAGAAATCAATCTTTCTTGTGCAGTATTTTAACAAAACAGAACTAGCATACACTTATAAGGAATATAATGTGATTCAAACTAAGGCGGGGTAGGTTAAAACTATAAGGATGCATCACTAACTAATCAATGGAATAAAATTTTACATGCAGATACAAATGTAAAAGCTCAATAAAGTAGAGATTTGTATACCTAGGTGATACTGCCACACCGTGCGATTTGAGTAGAGAGTACTGAAAGCTGATAGGAAACAAACCACAATTAACTCAACAAAAACAATAACGATTGGTATGAACAATAATAAATAGATTAGCATGGTCATTCTCATAAAGCTTTCCCTTATGTTTGGAAGTTCTGTCTACTTAACAGGACATGTATACGTGACTAATTAAGATTGAAATAGAACTGTTGATTGACAAATCAGTGTAGTTTTTAATTGCCATTTTCAAAGTCCAGTATTACAACCTGTTGACCACTTAGCGCTGCTGATCAGTTCCAAAATGAAAACAACCCAACTAGAGACCAAGGCAATCCTACATATGAAATTAAAGAGAGATACATAGAATATTTCTCAATTAGAGAAAACTTTCATTGTCAAAAAGTAAGATGGCCACCTGTCAGCCATTTTGTGCTTTTGATCAGTCAAAAAATAAAAGGGGCACAACTACAGTCCATCGGAAACACATACAAAATTTGAGAAAGATCTATTTAGTACTTCTCAAGAAATAGCAATAACTATCTTTCAGTGTCAAAAACCAAGATGGCCACTTGTCAGCCATTTGATTTACTGATTAGTTCCAAAATTAAAAGGGCTTAAATAGGGACAGCATGGAACCTTGATATTGTTATCGATTTATTCAGTATTCCTCAAGAAATAACAGTCGACAATAATGGTGATACAAAACTACTGGTGAAAACAAAATAAAAATGGAGAATTTCAGGAGGGCAAGACAGAAATTAATTCAAACATCAGAGGAACAAAAACTGTGGGTACAAAACCTTAAGTTCCATCTTGTTTTTACCTATGTACAATATAAAACCAACAACTTCCACATCGGAAACTAGATCATCAGACAGAACAGGGCTAAATTAATATCTCAATTGTAAGCAGTACATTTCTCATAATGATATAATTGCTCGGGAAATATTATTTCATTAATGCAGTGATGACAATACCTATAGGTGGATTAACCTGTCGTCATTATATAGTTAATACCTACAGGTGGATTATCTGTCATCATTATATAGTCAATACCTATAGGTGGATTAACCTGTCATCATTATATAGTTAATACCTATAGGTGGATTAACTTGTCATCATTATATAGTTAATACCTATAGGTGGATTAACTTGTCATCATTATATAGTTAATACCTACAGGTGGATTATCTGTCATCATTATATAGTCAATACCTATAGGTGGATTAACCTATCATCATTATATAGTTAATACCTAGAGGTGGATAACCTATCATCATTATATAGTTAATACCTATAGGTGGATTAACCTGTCATCATTATATAGTTAATACCAATAGGTGGATTAACCTGTCATCATTATATAGTTAATACCTATAGGTGGATTAACCTGTCATCATTATATAGTTAATACCTGTGGGTGGATTAACCTGTCATCATTATATAGTTAATACCTATAGGAGGATTAACCTGTCATCATTATATAGTTAATACCTATAGGTGGATTAACTTGTCATCATTATATAGTTAATACCTATAGGTGGATTAACTTGTCATCATTATATAGTTAATACCTACAGGTGGATTATCTGTCATCATTATATAGTCAATACCTATAGGTGGATTAACCTATCATCATTATATAGTTAATACCTAGAGGTGGATTAACCTGTCGTCATTATATAGTTAATACCTAGAGGTGGATTAACCTGTCATCATTATATAGTTAATACCTAGAGGTGGATTAACCTGTCATCATTATATAGTTAATACCTATAGGTGGATTAACCTGTCGTCATTATATAGTTAATACCTATAGGTGGATTAGCCTGTCGTCATTATATAGCTAATACCTATAGGTGGATCAACCTGTCGTCATTATATAGTTAATACCTATAGGTGGATTATCTGTCATCATTATATAGTCAATACCTATAGGTGGATTAACCTGTCGTCATTATATAGTTAATACCTAGAGGTGGATTAACCTGTCATCATTATATAGTTAATACCTAGAGGTGGATTAACCTGTCATCATTATATAGTTAATACCTAGAGGTGGATTAACCTGTCATCATTATATAGTTAAAACCTATAGGAGGATTAACCTGTCGTCATTATATAGTTAATACCTATAGGTGGATTAACCTGTCGTCATTATATAGTCAATACCTATAGGTGGATTAACCTGTCGTCATTATATAGTTAATACCTAGAGGTGGATTAACCTGTCGTCATTATATAGTTAATACCTATAGGTGGATTAACCTGTCATCATTATATAGTTAATACCTATAGGTGGATTAACCTGTCATCATTATATAGTCAATACCTATAGGTGGATTAACCTGTCATCATTATATAGTCAATACCTATAGGTGGATTAACCTGTCATCATTATATAGTCAATACCTATAGGTGGATTAACCTGTCATCATTATATAGTTAATACTTATAGCTGGATTAACCTGTCGTCATTATATAGTTAATACCTATAGGAGGATTAACCTGTCGTCATTATATAGTTAATACCTATAGGTGGATTAACCTGTCATCATTATATAGTCAATACCTATAGGTGGATTAACCTGTCATCATTATATAGTCAATACCTATTGGTGGATTAACCTGTCATCATTATATAGTCAATACCTATAGGTGGATTAACCTGTCATCATTATATAGTTAATACCTATAGGTGGATTAACCTGTCATCATTATATAGTTAATACCTATATGTGATCAACCAGTCTCCCTCTACCACTGCTAATGAAACAAAGATGCAGCCAGGAGTAGAGTTAGCTCGGATAGAAATATTTCTCACTAAGAAGCTCCTGATTATCAGGTCACACAAGCTGCTAGTGATCCTGCTGTCTGTGTCAAAACAGTGATCAAATTGTGATGATAATATCAAATCTTGACTTTTTTTCTTTTCTTTTTTCCTCTTTCATTCTATCAGTAATTAACTATTTTGTGTTTTGTTTTTTTCATATCAAAGTTTATGAGTAAAAATGTAGAAAATTTACCTTTACAAAAAATTGGTAAATTTCAAAACCACTTGCAGCTTACCAAATTCACATAAGAAATACCAACAAACAGTTTGCAAAGAATATATAGGAAGGCATATTTCATATGGAAAAGAAAGACACAACAAGAGAAGGATGTCAGTGACAATAATAGCTACCCAGGCCGCCACTTGTCACAATCATAACTTACTGTATCTGTGTTTAAAATATCCCATGCAATAAGAAAATGGAAAATACCGTTAACTACTAGTTAAGTGTTTTTAAAAATTTCTGACATTTTTTATTCCCCTTATTGATGCAAACTTTCAAAATAATTCTTATAGATTTAAATTGAAAAGTCTCAATCTAAAAGAACTTGTACTAAAGCATTTTCAGTGATTATGGAAAAAGATAAGCATTATCATTATGAAATGTGCAATGTTCCTCATTTCAAGTACAAAATTTTCTAATTCAATGCACTGAGCTCTATGTTATAATAATGAGATGTCAATACCTTTTAACTTAATGAAGTATTATCAATCAAATTGATATTATCTTTCCATTAAATTCTTTCAACTTTCTCCATTTACTAAAGAATTCTGTGAAAATGTCTGTAGGACTACTGTGAATCCCTTCTATCCTGCTATTAAAACAAGCTCAGATAAATATTATTGTTCATTTCTTGTAGATCTTGTGATTTCCTGGGCGATATGGAGAAACTATAGTTGAACAATGAGAAACTACCAACATGACAACAAAATGCTTTTGACGAGGACCAGGGGGTGCTTTTGACGAGGACCAGGGGGTGCTTTTGATGAGGACCAGGGGGTTCAATTTCACCAAAACTATGAGGTCCATTATGATCTGTCGTTACTCATACAGTTAGACAAAGGTGACATGCACACTGACTAAAATTGTCTTAATCTTCACATCATACTTTTTTTAGATAATTCCAACACTCAAACAATGTCATACTGATTAGTTAAGGGTGTATGCTACCTGACCTATTACACCTGTGTATATCAGAGTTATCTCCCCTTTAGAGCATTTAGTATGGTAATCTTCCTAAAAGTCCTATATACTGGACACTTTGTATGTTTACTGGTGAACATCTACTTTTAATCTTAATCCTAATACAACCAATTTATATAATTTTTACAGCATTTTTTATGAAAAACAAAGTTACAAATTGATGCTGAAATCTTGTCATTGGATACAGACTCTTTGTGGGCCTTCCTAACTAACTATTTGTCATAAAACAAAGTCTATCTGGTTTGTGAAAGTCTAAAAGAGCACACATCCTTTAGTATCAGACACTGTCAGATAACAGTGAAGATCTTTTTACCTAATGTACCACTGAAATCTAATAGAGGATTCAAATACAGTCAAACTTTAATCTCACAAAAAAAAGTAGATTGATAGAAACTACCCCCGCTATGACCAAAACCTTGATAAGTTCTGGAGAACTTAAAGCTTATCTTTTTAATATGAATGAATAACTGTTTAATATCATGCAATGAAAAATACAGTTTCCCAATAATGTTAGTTTATGATACTTCAGACAATCTATTTGGAATAATTTATGGAATTATCAAATTAAGTTTTGAAATAAAAGTTTCTGTTTTAATGTATACCTTCTTTGCGCTGGCCGTGTGCACTTAGGGTACGTTTGTGTGATGCACTGGGTGTTGTGGTGTCGGAACGCCACTCTCCTGTCATTGTGTAACCATTCTTAGCCAGCAGGCGGGCTCTCTCAGCCTCCGTATCCATTAGATGGGTCATATTATTTCGGTACTCTGTCTCAGGAATGATGGCCGTGCCACCTGCCGACCTGTTGGATCCTCCTAACGGTTTCCTCACAAACTTACTTCTCTGTTGAATTTAGAAATGGAGAGTGTCAAAACATCAATAATTTTTGCGGACTTTTTTCTCTATAATTTACGTGATAAAAGATTCTGGCAAAGATCCTTTGTTACCTTTATGTCGTACTTAATCAGATAAACATACATTAAGTTCTGGGACATTGAGAATAATAATAAGAAATGAAACTTGATTATAAACAAATAATATAATTTGCTGAATCAAATTAAATCTCATTGTTTTTCAGGTACTTATTCCGTCATTTTATAATGAGTTATCTGCTCTTGTTAGCAGGTATTGATAAGTGCAGATATCTCTGCGATAAGGTAGAATATTAAGGACAAAGTTATATCATATTTTTAATCATTATTACATTTATCATCTATCTTTGATTTACAAATAAACTTTTTGGAAACAACATCTTATCAGCAGTTTATGTTCTCAAGACAAAAAGCATAGAAGTTACAAAAATAAATTGAAGACAAAGATACTAGGATAGAGTCAAAGCCATTAAGAATAATACAGCTGGTTCTTTTCATCCCTTGCTAAGATACCTCTCAGTATGTATGGCGATTGGAATCAAATGACAAACTATGAATTAGGAAGCAATTTCAACAAGCCAAGGATACATAATTTTTTTCTTATTTTTTATTGATATTTTGACCAGTTTCGCCCAAAAACAGATAGAAATATACTATCGTTTTGTCCTGAAGAATCTCACATAGTTAGAGTGAATCCGGTCGACATAAATAAAGAAATAATGAAAAGATAAATAAAAAGACACTGTGTATCCCAGGCTTGCTGAAACTGCTTCCTCATTTAGGAAAATAATTGAATTTACAAGTTGATCTCAAGAAAACATCATTTTAACAAATCGATTTAACAAACTAATAAAAAAATCAGTGTGTTATTACAAAAGCTGGGTAACAAGTCATTTCAATGCAAATTAAGTGTTAGTGGTATAACTCAAAGTAGTTAAAACTGTGAGGTGGGGGGGGTGACTGGGAACAGGGTAAACTTACCACTTTAGAAGTATAAAAACAGGGAATCTGATGATGGATGGTCATTGGTCAGGGTTCAGACTGTTTAGTGACTATTTAACATCATTTTTCAAGTGAAATGAATTTAGAAAAGTGATGATAAAAGACTCAATGATTGTGACTGAGAGGTCATGCATGTTAGTTAATGAACAAGAGTGGTGAAAGATCTTTCTAAATCCATTACATTGTTTTTAAGCATGGTATCACATGGTAGAACATTGCTACTTAACAATTTTTCAATCAACTTCACATTATATAAAATCCCTCCCCCAAGGTTAAGATGACACTGTAAGGTAAGAGAGGGTGTAACTGAAACACATAATTATGACAAAGCTTCAGGACCAATCATTGTATACTGTAGTTAGATAGGTGGTCTTCTGTTAGTAAAACCTACACATACAAACCTCCTCTCATAAGTTTATAAACCTTTATCCCATTACCGATCAACACAAAAACCTGACCCCACCAGTTAATCAACACTAAAACCTGACCCCATCAGCTGATCAACACTAAAACCTGACCCACCAGTTAATCAACACTAAAACCTGACCCACCAGTTAATCAACACTAGAACCTGACCCCACCAGCTGATCAACACTAAAACCTGACCCCATCAGCTGATCAACACTAAAACCTGACCCCACCAGTTAATCAACACTAAAACCTGACCCCATCAGCTGATCAACACTAAAACCTGACCCCATCAGCTGATCAACACTAAAACCTGACCCCATCAGCTGATCAACACTAAAACCTGACCCCATCAGCTGATCAACACTAGAACCTGACCCACCAACCCACCAGCTGACCAAAACTAGAATCTGACCCCACCAGTTGATCAACACTAGAACCTGACCCCACCAGCTGATCAACACTAAAACCTGACCCCATCAGCTGATCAACACTAAAACCTGACCCCACCAGCTGATCAACACTAAAACCTGACCCCATCAGCTGATCAACACTAAAACCTGACCCCATCAGCTGATCAACACTAAAACCTGACCCACCAGCTGACCAAAACTAGAATCTGACCCCACCAGTTGATCAACACTAGAACCTGACCCCACCAGCTGATCAACACTAAAACCTGACCCCACCAGCTGATCAACACTAAAACCTGACCCCATCAGCTGATCAACACTAAAACCTGACCCACCAGCTGACAAAAACTAGAATCTGACCCCACCAGTTGATCAACACTAAAACCTGACCCCACCAGCTGATCAACACTAAAACCTGACCCCACCAGCTGATCAACACTAAAACCTGACCCCACCAGCTGATCAACACAATAACCTGACCCCACCAGCTGATCAACACTAAAACCTGATCCACCGGCTGATCAACACTAGAACCTGACCCCACCAGCTGATCAACACTAGAACCTGACCCCATCAGCTGATCAACACTAGAACCTGACCCACCGACCCACCAGCTGATCAACACTAGAACCTGACCCCATCAGCTGATCAACACTAGAACCTGACCCCACCAGCTGATCAACACTAGAACCTGACCCCACCAGCTGATCAACACTAAAACCTGACCCCCACCAGCTGATCAACACTAGAACCTGACCCCACCAGCTGATCAACACTGGAAGTGACCCCACCAGCTGATCAACACTAGAACCTGACCCCACCAGCTGATCAACACTAGAACCTGACCCCACCAGCTGATCAACACTAAAACCTGATCCACCGGCTGATCAACACTAAAACCTGATCCACCGGCTGATCAACACTAGAACCTGACCCCACCAGCTGATCAACACTCGAACCTGACCCCACCAGCTGATCAACACTAGACCCTGACCCCACCAGTTGATCAACACTAGAACCTGACCCCACCAGGTGATCAACACTAAAACCTGATCCACCGGCTGATCAACACTAAAAGCAACTCACATACCAGAAAGCAGCCAATGGATGTTCTATATATATCAATTATCATTAAAGCACAATTTGTAGTTAATTCCTTCATCTTGTTGACTACAGTACAACACCTGTTCACCATTACAAGTCTACAGTGCTGCTACTTCTATACAGTAGTTTACCTGGTAGGATGGCACAGTCTTCTCGTTAAGGCTACCCAGACTTCCTGACTTTCCCTGCCATGTGGTACTTCGGCCTGAGGAGCCATAGCTTGGCTGTAGTATGGAGGACAAAGGAGCAAATGATAATGGCACTAATCAAATATAAGTAACAGTACTGGACACAGGGTTTTCTCCCCTACGTCTAACCAGTGGGGGTGGGGTGAGTGGTGGAGCAGTGGGGTAGGTAAGACAGGGTGACAGATGTGGGGGACAGGTTACAACAACAGAGCTAAACAAATAGGAATTGTAGTTACTTATAGTGATATGATAGTGGTTGTTACAATCACTCTGAAACAGGGATAAACAATCAGTTCAAATTTTAATCTACAAAATTAATAATTTTATCATAAACTTCAAAGATAAGATGAAATAAGCCATATAGTATTAGTTTAGGGACACATGTAAGTTGTATTATCATAAAAAATCCAAATTGTACTGTTATATAAGAGTTAAATCCTTGGACCAGTGTTGATTACAAAAATCAGACCAAAAGTTTTCAAACATATAAGACTGTCATTTATAATTTCAATTACCGGGTAAGTAGATGTTTAATTCATAAAAAGATAAGAACAGGTAACTAAGACACTTATACAGTGTATTATGTATATTACACTGGATGTAAGTATTAATTACAGATAATTGATATTGTTTACAGTATGTAGCAAAGTTTGGTCTGAATGATTTTTTTTATGAAATTTTTAAACTATATCTATCATAAACTTTTGATTTATCTCAAAGTCACACTAGCTACTACTTATATATAACAGCAATCAGAAAAAAATGGTCAATACATTTGAACATTTGAACTTTTTGCTTATTTTTCAAAAATTTCATTTATCAAATTTCAACCTGTTGTAGTTGTGATATAAATCGTCAGAAAGCTATAATTTGTGATCACTTGTCATGAATGTGTACCTTTTAGGAGACATACATACATGGGTGGCTGTTGCAAAGACTGTACACGTTTGATATGATACGTTAAGATTTCAATTTAAGTTTTCCTGTCATAAAAATATTTTCACCAGATATTGAAACACCAAAAATAGCATCAACAAGCAGAAAGGAGAACATTTTATTGTTTAAAATCATAAAAAAAACTCATGGCTCTGACTTTGGATGGAAAAAGAGCAGAAATCAAAATAGCAATACATGGCTCTCATGGGTAAATCCTAGAGAACACCTTCAGTATCATAGTGTTATGTGGGTAAATCCTAGAGAACGCCTTCAGTATAACAGACAGTGTTATGTGGGTAAATCCTAGAGAACACCTTCAGTATAACAGACAGTGTTATGTGGGTAAATCCTAGAGAACACCTTCAGTATAACAGACAGTGTTATGTGGGTAAATCCTAGAGAACACCTTCAGTATAACAGACAGTGTTATGTGGGTAAATCCTAGAGAATGCCTTCAGTATAACAGACAGTGTTATGTGGGTAAATCCTAGAGAATGCCTTCAGTATAACAGTGTTATGTGGGTAAATCCTAGAGAACATCTTCAGTATAACAGTGTTATGTGGGTAAATCCTAGAGAACGCCTTCAGTATAACAGACAGTGTTATGTGGGGAAAATCCTAGAGAACACCTTCAGTATAACAGACAGTGTTATGTGGGTAAATCCTAGAGAACACCTTCAGTATAACAGACAGTTTCATGTGGGTAAATCCTAGAGAACACCTTCAGTATAACAGACAGTGTTATGTGGGGAAAATCCTAGAGAACGTCTTCAGTATAACAGACAGTGTTATGTGGGTAAATCCTAGAGAACGCCTTCAGTATAACAGACAGTGTTATGTGGGTAAATCCTAGAGAACACCTTCAGTATAACAGACAGTGTTATGTGGGTAAATCCTAGAGAACACCTTCTGTATAACAGACAGTGTTATGTGGGTAAATCCTAGAGAACACCTTCTGTATAACAGACAGTGTTATGTGGGTAAATCCTAGAGAACGCCTTCAGTATAACAGACAGTGTTATGTGGGTAAATCCTAGAGAACGCCTTCAGTATAAGAGACAGTGTTATGTGGGTAAATCCTAGAGAACACCTTCAGTATAATAGACAGTGTTATGTGGGTAAATCCTTGAGAACACCTTCAGTATAACAGACAGTGTTATGTGGGTAAATCCTAGAGAACGCCTTCAGTATAACAGTGTTATGTGGGTAAATCCTAGAGAACGCCTTCAGTATAACAGACAGTGTTATGTGGGTAAATCCTAGAGAATGCCTTCAGTATAACAGACTGTGTTATGTGGGTAAATCCTAGAGAACACCTTCAGTATATCAGACTGTGTTATGTGGGTAAATCCTAGAGAACACCTTCAGTATAACAGATAGTGTTATGTGGGTAAATCCTAGAGAATGCCTTCAGTATAAGAGACAGTGTTATGTGGGTAAATCCTAGAGAACACCTTCAGTATAACAGACAGTTTTATGTGGGTAAATCCTAGAGAACGCCTTCAGTATATCAGACTGTGTTATGTGGGTAAATCCTAGAGAACGCCTTCAGTATAGCAGACACCTTCATTTCGGTTTAAGTTTTACAATAAATATATATTTACCGTTGTACTTAAACTCTATATCTTGCAACTTTCTTTGGATAAAAAAAAATTGATAGCATTCAAACCAACTAGTTCTTATTTATCAATAATGGGTTTCATCTTATTAAATGTTTTGAACCATTTTTCTGAAGAAAGCAATTGTTCTACTTTGTGATCCTAAGAGTAAGAGGTAGAACAGCTACAACACAGATACAGCAGACACAGCGATCAACACATCATTCCACAAATTTAGTCAAAGAAAAAGAATTAAATTGGTAATCATTATTTTGCTTCATGCCTCATGCTTTCAAAAAACTCCACAAAATCAGCCTTAATATACTGCAATCAAACACAAAATTTCAGTATATAGCAAACAACATCAGTCAGATGAGTCAGTTAGGATTGGAATTCACTGCAATACTGCGCCACTCCATGATATAGTCTGTGGCTACCAACCTCATCCTCATATAGTTCTTCCCCATCACACTCGTCAGTGGTGACAAAAGGTTGGTGCATAAGGACCACCTTGCGATCGCTCGTGCTGTACGAGAGTCTAACTTGTGGGAATTGCCGTGTATCTTCACGGGTTTGACAAAACACACTGCCATGATAGTTAGAAGTGCAGTTGGCATGGTTTGCAGTCTTAGGTTGTTTGCCTCGTTTATCTCCCTTTGTGGAGATCTCATTTGCTAGGGCATGGTTGTGTCCAAAGTACCTATCCAGGAGCTTTTTATAATACTGTCTGTCCTTAATACGTACAGGGGCTTGGCGCCCCATTAGGCAAGACTCTGTGTTTCTACTAGAGCACAGCCACCGCTGGTTATCCTGCGCAGGTGCAGAGAGAGAAATTACAACAAAAGTGATATGAAGGAGGGATGACAAAGAGTTATAAATACAATATGCTATAATACAGAGTGTGACTAATACACTATAATACAGAGTGTGACTAATACACTATAATACAGAGGGATTACAGAGTGTGACTAATACATTAAAATACAGAGGGATTACAGAGTGTGACTAATACACTATAATACAGAGGGATTACAGAGTGTGACTAATACGCTATAATACAGAGGGATTACAGAGTGTGACTATAACACTATAATACAGAGTGTGACTAATACACTATGATACAGAGTGTGACTAATACACTATAATACAGAGTGTGACTAATACACTATAATACAGAGTGTGACTAATACACTATAATACAGAGGGATTACAGTGACTAATACATTAAAATACAGAGGGATTACAGAGTGTGACTAATACATTATAATACAGAGGGATTACAGAGTGTGACTAATACACTATAATACAGAGGGATTACAGAGTGTGACTAATACACTATAATACAGAGGGATTACAGAGTGTGACTAATACACTATAATACAGATTGTGACTAATACATTATAATACAGAGTGTGACTAATACATTATAATACAGAGCGTTTATAGAGTATGACTAATACACTATAATACAAATTATTGTCAGTGTCAGAAAGAATCTTATATTCCAATAAACATGATTCAGGGGATATTAAACACAAATTCAATCATACAATTACAAGGGTCATAATGATGAAGATTCTTATGAAAATAACTTACCATCCAATATATGTAAAGATATTTGAAATCTATTTGATGTAGACTTTTTAATCAAATTTCCATCCTTTAGCATAATGAAATATAATGATTTCTCAATATTATGATTAATTTAAACATAACATCGCTTAACATTACATATATTAATTTTGTAGTAAAATATCATTTAAAAAGTTACTTGGTTAAAATACAAAATGTTTTATATTTCTGAGGTGCATTTTAAGCTGTCATGACAGCTGTGAGACACATGCTTAGAATCATGCCAATTCCAGCCTCTGTAACATTATAAGTTCCAGAAATATTTTTAGATGATAACTTTTTGAAAATTGTATTTAGAAATATGAATGTTTCAGTGTAAACTATCATTCAGTTGAAAACAGAGACTAGATTGTCCTAAACTGTTACACTGTAATTAGTTGCTATGGTAATTAAATTCTACAACGGATATAGGAAACTGACTCGAAGGAATGTCAACATTTACAAAATGTTTCTCAAAGTGAATTGTCGGGTATCTGGCTCAGTAGAATGTCAACATTCCTGATATAGTGTCACAGTTTACTGTCCATGTAGAACTTTGAAGCATTTTACATTAATGATTAAACTTAATATGTAATTAATAGTGACTTTGGTGGATGAAATATCATTGTCAAATCTTCTAGATTCTTCATCTTCTTATCCTAACTCAACTTTGATAAATTTTGGTTGCTAATATATCAATCTACAAAACTTTGGTATAACTGCGTCTAGCTCCTTGAGTCATCTGACATTATCTGTTACAGAAGAAACTCAATACGTGTATACTGCCTTTCCTTCATCTTACATTATCTGTTACACAATATCTCAATATACTGCCTTCCTTCATCTTACATTATCTGTTACAGAATATCTCAGTATACTGCCTTTCCTTCATCTTACATTATCTGTTACACAATATCTCAATATACTGCCTTTCCTTCATCTTACATTATCTGTTACACAATATCTCAATATACTGCCTTTCCTTCATCTTACATTATCTGTTACACAATATCTCAATATACTGCCTTTCCTTCATCTTACATTATCTGTTACACAATATCTCAATATACTGCCTTCCTTCATCTTACATTATCTGTTACACAATATCTCAATATACTGCCTTTCCTTCATCTTACATTATCTGTTACACAATATCTCAATATACTGCCTTTCCTTCATCTTACATTATCTGTTACACAATATCTCAATATACTGCCTTTCCTTCATCTTACATTATCTGTTACACAATATCTCAATATACTGCCTTTCCTTCATCTTACATTATCTGTTACACAATATCTCAATATACTGCCTTTCCTTCATCTTACATTATCTGTTACACAATATCTCAATATACTGCCTTTCCTTCATCTTACATTATCTGTTACACAATATCTCAATATACTGTCTTCCCTTCATCTTACATTATCTGTTACACAATATCTCAATATACTGCCTTTCCTTCATCTTACATTATCTGTTACACAATATCTCAATATACTGCCTTTCCTTCATCTTACATTATCTGTTACAGAATATCTCAGTATACTGCCTTCCTTCGCCTGACATTATCTGTTACAGAATATCTCAGTATACTGCCTTCCTTCGCCTGACATTATCTGTTACAGAATATCTCAGTATACTGCCTTCCTTCACCTGACATATGTGAGACAGTAACTATCTGATTAAAATTTTAATTAGAATTTCTGCAATATCTTTTTTTGACCATCAATATAAACACTAACTATCTTTATATTTTGTTGTTAAAATGGCAGCATGTGGCAATGGTTCACTGCAGCACTAATGCATTTGATTATTTACTGTGATCTTTGTATGTAATGAAAGCTGCTACATCTGAGAACATGTTATCAGAGCCATCTGGCACACATATACATAACCTGTGTAAAGACAACAGTTACTGAAAATCATAATTCTCTTTAAAGAAACTTGAATGATTTAAAAAAAAAAAAAAAAAAACCTTTTGAAATGAGCTAAAAATTAATAAAAAATAGCAGTAGTTTGTATTTTTAGTTTCTTCTATCTTAAGGTAGGAGTTAAATGCAAGAAGGAACAGTGAAAGGGAAGATTTTGTTGTCTGTATTCCATCTTGTATAGTCACAAGTTTTTGTTGTAGATAACTTGTTTAAAGCTTCAGGTTTGATTATGGTAGGTGATTAAATATAATGAAATGAAGCAATTTCTTGAAAATCCATTAGAATTAATTATAAATGTTACTGATTGGGTGTTATATAATAATTCTCAATGCTACCTTGTATCCGCCATAAGGAAAAGAAAAAGTTGGGTATTTTACACTTGTTGGTTTAAAACATGGCGATCTGTTTCTCATGAATAAGTAGTGTTTTGTGATCTGTCAAAATAAAAATGCAACACATTTTTTTTTCAGATTTCTATGACAAGAATTATGTTTACTTGCATTTTCATCATAAAGTTTCCTCTTTGCAGATACGAGTTAACAACAAATACGACCCGTTCAGTAAACATTCTACAGTATGTCATATCATTTATCAAGTAATGGAATAGTTCTACCTTCCCAACACTCATCTACAGCCACCTTCACTGAACAAACATTTCATAATTCAATGATCTATCTCTGTTACTAAGCGTAACAAAATACTGTACACCACTCACTTTAAATGTGCTTAATTAACCACAATCAATTTTAGCAGATTATCACTTATTGGCTAACTAGAACAATGATGAAACTGCTTATCAGTAATAACTTCTATATATATAAACAATGTACACAAGTGACAATTAGCACAATCATGTTAAAGTGAAATACTTCTAGAACAAAAAACCACTAAAATAAGATTACCACTTATATATCTATGTTTACAGTAACTAAATTGAGACCATCAACAATTCTTATGTTATTTATACCTCTTTTCTGGGATCATTACAGCTAATATGAACTGTATCATTTTATACTTATCTATAATATCATGGTAAACACCTAAATTTGATAAAAAATGAAATTAATAAAATGAGAAAAAAAAAACCTGAATATTTAGTTTGTCATGCATCAGTATCATGTAAGGTGTGACATGTGGTATAGAGAACCAGGTGTGAGAAAGACTGTCTTTAGTAACACAAGGTATATACGACACATCTATTGTAGTCTTAGCTATACAAATCCTTCCAACACTTACCTTCCCCACTAAGTGGGAGAAGCTTTGATCAGATGGGAGCTTAAAAAGGTACAACACAAATAGACAGAGATTTCTGGGAAAGTACAGACATCCCTAATATAGGATACTGTAGTCATTAAAACAGACACCCTTCCTCCTATATTATAATGTAGTCACTACAACAGACACACCTCCTATATTATACTGTAGTCACTACAACAGACATCCCTCCTCCTATATCATACTGTAGTCACTACAACAGACATCCCTCCTATATTATACTGTAGTCACTACAACAGACACACCTCCTATATTATACTGTAGTCACTACAACAGACACCCCTCCTCCTATATTATACTGTAGTCACTACAACAGACACCCCTCCTATATTATACTGTAGTCACTTCAACAGACACCCCTCCTCCTATATTATACTGTAGTCACTACAACAGACACCCCTCCTATATTATACTGTAGTCACTTCAACAGACATCCCTCCTCCTATATTATACTGTAGTCACTACAACAGACACCCCTCCTCCTATATTATACTGTAGTCACTACAACAGACATCCCTCCTCCTATATTATACTGTAGTCACTACAACAGACACACCTCCTATATTATACTGTAGTCACTACAACAGACATCCCTCCTCCTATATTATACTGTAGTCACTACAACAGACATCCCTCCTATATTATACTGTAGTCACTACAACAGACACCTCTCCTATATTATACTGTAGTCACTACAACAGACATCCCTCCTATATTATACTGTAGTCACTACAACAGACAACCCTCCTATATTATACTGTAGTCACTTCAACAGACACCCCTCCTATATTATACTGTAGTCACTACAACAGACACCCCTCCTATATTATACTGTAGTCACTACAACAGACAACCCTCCTATATTATACTGTAGTCACTTCAACAGACACCCCTCCTATATTATACTGTAGTCACTACAACAGACACTCCTCCTATATTATACTGTAGTCACTTCAACAGGCACCCCTCCTATATTATACTGTAGTCACTACAACAGACACCTCTCCTATATTATACTGTAGTCACTACAACAGACACCCCTCCTCCTATATTATACTGTAGTCACTACAACAGACACATCTCCTATATTATACTGTAGTCACTACAACAGTCACACCTCCTATATTATACTGTAGTCACTACAACAGACACATCTCCTATATTATACTGTAGTCACTACAACAGACACCCCTCCTCCTATATTATACTGTAGTCACTACAACAGACATCCCTCCTATATTATACTGTAGTCACTACAACAGACACCTCTCCTATATTATACTGTAGTCACTACAACAGACATCCCTCCTATATTATACTGTAGTCACTACAACAGACAACCCTCCTATATTATACTGTAGTCACTACAACAGACACCCCTCCTCCTATATTATACTGTAGTCACTACAACAGACACACCTCCTATATTATACTGTAGTCACTACAACAGACACATCTCCTATATTATACTGTAGTCACTTCAACAGACACCCCTCCTATATTATACTGTAGTCACTACAACAGACACTCCTCCTATATTATACTGTAGTCACTTCAACAGGCACCCCTCCTATATTATACTGTAGTCACTACAACAGACACCTCTCCTATATTATACTGTAGTCACTACAACAGACACCCCTCCTCCTATATTATACTGTAGTCACTACAACAGACACACCTCCTATATTATACTGTAGTCACTACAACAGACACCTCCTCCTACAACAGACACATATATTATACTGTAGTCACTACAACAGACACACCTCCTATATTATACTGTAGTCACTACAACAGACATCCCTCCTCCTATATTATACTGTAGTCACTACAACAGACACACCACCTATATTATACTGTAGTCACTACAACAGACATCCCTCGTCCTATATTATACTGTAGTCACTACAACAGACACACCTCCTATATTATACTGTAGTCACTACAACAGACACACCTCCTATATTATACTGTAGTCACTACAACAGACACCCCTCCTCCTATATTATACTGTAGTCACTACAACAGACACACCTCCTATATTATACTGTAGTCACTACAACAGACACACCTCCCTGTAGTCACTACAACAGACACACATATATTATACTGTAGTCACTACAACAGACACCCTCTCCTATATTATACTACTGTAGTCACTACAACAGACACACCTCCCTACAACAGACACCCCTCCTCCTATTATACTGTAGTCACTACAACAGATCCTATATTATACTGTAGTCACTACAACAGACATCCCTCCTCCTATATTATACTGTAGTCACTACAACAGACATCCCTCCTCCTATATTATACTGTAGTCACTACAACAGACATCCCTCCTCCTATATTATACTGTAGTCACTACAACAGACACACCTCCTATATTATACTGTAGTCACTACAACAGACACATATTATACTGTAGTCACTACCAGACACACCTCCTATATTATACTGTAGTCACTACAACAGACACCCTCCTCCTATATTATACTGTAGTCACTACAACAGACATCCCTCCTATATTATACTGTAGTCACTACAACAGACACATCTCCTATATTATACTGTAGTCACTACAACAGACACCCCTCCTCCTATATTATACTGTAGTCACTACAACAGACACACCTCCTATATTATACTGTAGTCACTACAACAGACATCCCTCGTCCTATATTATACTGTAGTCACTACAACAGACACACCTCCTATATTATACTGTAGTCACTACAACAGACATCCCTCCTCCTATATTATACTGTAGTCACTACAACAGACATCCCTCCTCCTATATTATACTGTAGTCACTACAACAGACACACCTCCTATATTATACTGTAGTCACTACAACAGACATCCCTCGTCCTATATCATACTGTAGTCACTACAACAGACACACCTCCTATATTATACTGTAGTCACTACAACAGACACCCCTCCTCCTATATTATACTGTAATCACTACAACCCCTCCTTCTGAATTATACCATATTCATTATGTTTTATAGGAAACACATGCCTATAAAAGGCCCTGGATGTTCAGAAGGGTAATGATCAATACTGTTGTCAGTCATGTGACATGAGTAAGAAGAAATGGGACATAATTGCTGATAGGGTAAAACTATGGAGAAGTATTAATGTGCATATAAAGGCAATTCACAACAGAGTGGTAGTGCTATCAGGGAGCATCAGTCCAACCTGCTGAAATATATATTATATACTGGCCTTCACTAACAAATATACATGGCATCTAGAATTACATCTATATAATGCTAACTCCATTTTGGAAAGATTTTGTCCAAATTCAAAATAATTACCTTTTTATGACATTTCAAACAAGATAATCTTAACAAATCAAACATAACGATATGCAGACATTAAAAAAAGAGAATTCAACATCAAGTATGTTGATTTGTCAACATATCAACAATGTGACATACAGACAGACAACTACAGCTGAAAGGGTTTATATCTACACTGTGACATACAGACAGACAACTACAGCTGAAAGGGTTTATATCTACACTGTGACATACAGACAGACAACTACAGCTGAAAGGATTTATATCTACACTGTGACATACAGACAGACAACTATAGCTGAAAGGGTTTAAATCTACACTGTGACATACAGACAACTATAGCTGAAAGGGTTTATATCTACACTGTGACATATAGATGGACATCTATAGCTGAAAGGGTTTATATTTACACTGTGATATACAGACAACTATAGCTAAAAGGATTTATATCTACACTGTGACATACAGACAGACAACTATAGCTGAAAGGATTTACATCTACACTGTAACATATAGACGGACATCTACAGCTGAAAGGGTTTATATCTACACTGTGACATACAGACAACTACAGCTGAAAGGGTTTATATCTACACTGTGACATATAGACGGACATCTATAGCTGAAAGGGTTTATATCTACACTGTAACATATAGACGGACATCTATAGCTGAAAGGGTTTATATCTACACTGTGACATTAGGATGCATCATTCTGATTAGCCGTAAACTCAATGTTAAGGTGAAGAGTTCTAAACAGGGGCAGTAACTCTTTACCTGTGAATCTGGTCTTGTGGCTAATGGATTATGGATGTAGATCTGTCAAGAAGTTAATTATAATTAAAACTGTGTGGGCCATTATTAATACAGCATTTTTCTAAGGAGCACATGATCACGACTTTGAGACTAATTTACTGATTTTTATTGGGCTTATATATACATAAGCATGGAGTAATTAATACGTGACATAAATGCATTATAATTGAACAAGGACTTCCTCAGCTTCACTTACATTAAGGAATCCCATGATAAACATGTAGGGTTTTTGATTACTTACATTTAATATTTTACACTGTACCTTTTTCACTATGATAAACCTATTTTTACAGTTAAACCTTACACAATAATTCTTTTCTTCCTTGAAAAAGAGCTTTGAAAGTCAAAATGGCTATAACCAGACTTTACAACCACACACACAGTAAGACTCTAATCATGAAGGCTATTGAACAATATGGATATACCACATATTTTACCAATGTGATCTCTGCAATCATGTGAGGTTGTTTATAACTTACAAACAAATCACATTTTTTTTTTGCGCTTTAATATCAGTAAAGAAATAGTTCATGATTTATTCACATTTTCACAGAAACATTTTCCTCGTTGTATTATATCGAATATGTTCTAATTCTGATTTAACTTCAGTTTCAAAAAAATATCTGATCAGAAGAATTAAATTTTATATTTAGAAACAAAAACAGACTCTTTTGTCACAAGATCAAATAAGACATATTGAAATTTGAATTTATTTAAAATTTAAATTAATTAGTTCATTAATTTTCTAAGGTACATGTATTATGCCTGTGTTTGGTGTGTATGTTGAGAACAAACCATTTCTAACAGGCACTTGTAACAAAAAATCTATATTTCTCCAGGAGTGTATGTTGAACTTCTACTTCTTGTAGTTGAGTCAAAAAGTTTAATGTCTGATAGTTCAAATACTGCTGTATATGAACCTTTAGACAGTAGATACTTACCAGAGGAGGAGGGAGAGCACGAGCATCTGTTTTCAGGACTCCCATGGTACCTGGTGTACAATGAAGAAGGCGGTACACATGCTCGACAATGCCAAGACCACGCACCAAATTGTCACGCTGTAACAAACCACTGATCCTCTCAAGCTCCTCCTCCTCAAGGATATCCATAGGCTTCGAGGTGTCAAGTGGTTCATCATACACCTGGCGTGATGATTCGCTGCCCATCACCTGAAAAATCACAGACACATACATCTAAAGCCATGTTATTCTCGTTATCATTAAATCAGTTTCCTCATTATCTGCCTCAATTTATTTGTAAATAAATCAATGTCCTTGCTATCTGCCTCAATTTAGTTGTCAATAAATGCTCAATCTGAGATAATATAATCACAATAAGTCATCTCCCCTTGACAACAACCAGATGACCAATACCTACCTCAAGACTGTTACGTGAGCTAAGAAGACGTCGTGAGGGCATAGTTGTCCGTCTAAGCGTCCGTCGTCTACGACTATTCGGACTCTCTGGGCGAAGACCAGTTGTGTTTCCTTTCTTTCCTTTTAACATGGACTCTAATTTCTCTTTCTTGCGAGCTATGTCATCTCGTTGTTGCCTAGAATAAATATCAAAGACAGTGTTGAGTGTAAATAACATCCACCGGTAAATGCTCTGAAATAGGGATATAAATAGCAATCACCCAATCAACGACACAGTCATTTGCTGTTACAATGCAAAGGGGATCTGAGCCATTTCACAATCTAGTGAAGAATTTTGGAACTACTACTTTCATTCATAAAATTTCATTCATAAAATACCTCACATTTGACCAATCAGAACGCTGTGTGTTTCTTACTGCAATAGCAACTCACAGCCTCAGTCTGGATCCATCATTACTTATTCCCAAATAACAATAAATAATTACGCTCTCAAGATTGAAATTGTCTAAATGCTCTGATTTCTTTTTAAATTATTTATATTTTTTTTGTGAAGGTATCACTTTGATTTTATATCAGATAATTAATGAGAGTACCATACCTGGCTAATTCAGTCCTTGCTTTAAAAGCAGCTGTTTCTTGGAACAAAGTTCCACTGCTGTGGAAAAACTTGTCATATTTCTCCCAACCAGGTGCTGGATAAATCCGCCGGAAATTTCCAAGGTGGCCGTTCTCGTATCTTTCCAAAGTCTCCAAGTATTGAGCCTGAGCCAACTCTAGTTCCTCCCTGTAAAGTTTATCAGAGTATGATGCAAAAATTATCTTAAGTCTCCCTAACTCCCAACCCCTCCATCTTAAATGTTTTTCTTGAAACCCATGTCACAATAACATATTGATAGTTCATTATTCCTTAGGTAATCCATAATTTTTTCAGGTCAAAGGTCACTTTACAGTATAAAGTTGATTGATGCCTTTGAGGGGAACATGTTGTCATGTTGGTCCTAAAGACACTGAGGAGAAATTGACTGACATCAAAGGCATTGAAACTGATGAATGCTCCCCAAAACCAATTTATGGGACACAAAATTTAATCAAAGGGCAATGATTCTGTAATTAAGAAGTTGCAGGCCTTGAATTTGGTATACTGCACATCCTCTTAGTATGACAAATGTATACGCCAAGTTTCATTAACTCCTAAATTATGTAAAACAGAATTATGGTTCTTGTACACTGTACTTATCGAGATCTATATACCTATGAAGCTTCATGTTGATACCTTGTATAGGTTTTGTAATATGCTCTGAACAAAATTATGACAAATGGACAAATAGATGGATGGACAAAGTGGTAAATGTATGCTCTCCCTTCCTGGTACATAATACCATGACATACAACCTATATATGCTGATCAACACTGCATGCAACATGTGATCGGTTTTAAATAATTATAAAAGGACATTGAAGTTCAATTCTCCACTTACTTGGTCTCCTTCTTTGTACCTCTCCCGAGAAGCCTTTCTTTTATCCGCCGTTTCTCCTCATCAATACATTTACGGCGATCACAAGCACCAAAATTGACTAAGTTAAGTGTGTCCCACACCAAAGCACCTTTGATTTCACGGTCTAGTTCTGAGTCAGTGTTAAAACTAGGAGAATGATTTACCTGAAAACATTAACATTCAGTATGCCTATCTGCATAAATTGCTTTCATTTTCTGCAAAACAACATTGACTTCATCATGGTAAATACATCACCTACTGGTCTGTCTGAACCATTAATGACTGACAACATCTATAAACAAACAATTATTAAAACAAACAAATCTTGTGTTTAAACTATTGCCACCAGTAACCACAATGTGGCATGGTTTAGATTGTAAAGAAAATAAGTTGTAGCATTCCTGTAATGGCACCAGAAGAATCCATGATGTCTAGGCCCATCAAAATAACTAATCCTGATTGAGATGGACAGATTTCATGAATCTTGCTCTTCTGCAACTAAACACATAATTTTTTATTACTGTACATCAAAGTGAACACTTGCTCAGTAATTTGGGGATTGAAGCGTCCTGCTGAGACCAGAACTTTGACATAGAGTATTACATAAACTCCTCATAATACCTTACCTCAAGTATCGAGGGTCGAAGCTTCCTGTCAAGAAGAACATCAAAGCCCAAGATCTCGAAGCAGGCGCTGCCTTTGACATGGTTAGGGAAACATGTGCGGTAGTTGTGTTTGAGAACAGAGTGCGCTGATATGAGAGTCTTTATAATGACGTCATCAATGTCACTCCACATTTTGTCAATGTCGTATCCCTTTTGACGCATGTATCTGTCCACAGTACTGATACGTCTGTTAACATATAAAAAATATCACCTGATAACAGATAAACAATGCCATTGATTTCTGACCCCTAATCTCCACCTAAGATCATGTGGCTCTTTTTATCATTGAACTATTATATCATAAATAGATTTTATGAACCTTGACTTCTGACATTATATCATTCACTTACTCAACACAAAAGTGTATCCCATAACAAAATATTTACATGGCAGACCGACCAGATGAACCTACCAAACCTTATGGTGCTTGTTGTTTTCTATACTATAAATATTAGTGAGTACCTATTTATACATATTAGTAAGTACCTATTTATATTTATTAGTGAGTACCTATTTATACATATTAGTGAGTACCTATTTATACATATTAGTGAGTACCTATTTATACATATTAGTGAGTACCTATTTATACATATTAGTGAGTACCTATCTCTACATATTAGTGAGTACCTATTTATATTTATTAGTGAGTACCTATTTCTACATATTAGTGAGTACCTATCTCTACATATTAGTGAGTACCTATCTATACATATTAGTGAGTACCTATTTCTACATATTAGTGAGTACCTATCTCTACATATTAGTGAGTACCTATTTATACATATTAGTGAGTACCTATTTATACATATTAGTGACTACCTATTTATACATATTAGTGAGTACCTATTTATACATATTAGTGAGTACCTATCTCTACATATTAGTGAGTACCTATTTATACATATTAGTGAGTACCTATCTCTACATATTAGTGAGTACCTATTTATAGATCATTTTTATGTATACTCCTTTTTGACTCTGATAAGATTTCTGTAAGAGTAACTCACCTTTTACTTCCCGCCTCATCATCTCGGATGAAATCTGTACTGTGTTTGTTGATGGCATAATTAGTTAAATGCATGAAAACATTATCCTGTAAACATCAACAATACAAAAAGTGAAAAGAATTCTGTTCTGGTATTACAAAAATATAACATCAGTAACATCATAACATCATTAACTATCCAGTAACCATTAATCTGATGTCCCATTAACCAGTCATCACTAATCTGATGTCCCACTATCCAGTCATCACTAATCTGATGTCCCACTATCCAGTAACCACTAATCTGATGTCCCATTAACCAGTCATCACTAATCTGATGTCCCACTATCCAGTCACCACTAATCTGATGTCCCACTATCCAGTAACCACTAATCTGATGTCCCATTAACCAGTCATCACTAATCTGATGTCCCACTATCCAGTAACCACTAATCTGATGTCCCACTATCCAGTCACCATTAATCTGATGTCCCACTATCCAGTCATCACTAATCTGATGTCCCACTATCCAGTAACCACTAATCTGATGTCCCATTAACCAGTCATCACTAATCTGATGTCCCACTATCCAGTAACCACTAATCTGATGTCCCACTATCCAGTCATCACTAATCTGATGTCCCACTATCCAGTAACCACTAATCTGATGTCCCATTAACCAGTCATCACTAATCTGATGTCCCACTATCCAGTAACCACTAATCTGATGTCCCACTATCCAGGCACCATTAATCTGATGTCCCACTATCCAGTCACCACTAATCTGATGTCCCATTAACCAGTCATCACTAATCTGATGTCCCACTATCCAGTCACCACTAATCTGATGTCCCACTATCCAGTAACCACTAATCTGATGTCCCACTATCCAGTCATCACTAATCTGATGTCCCACTATCCAGTAACCACTAATCTGATGTCCCATTAACCAGTCATCACTAATCTGATGTCCCACTATCCAGTAACCACTAATCTGATGTCCCACTATCCAGTCACCATTAATCTGATGTCCCACTATCCAGTCATCACTAATCTGATGTCCCACTATCCAGTAACCACTAATCTGATGTCCCACTATCCAGTAACCACTAATCTGATGTCCCACTATCCAGTCACCACTAATCTGATGTCCCACTATCCAGTAACCACTAATCTGATGTCCCACTATCCAGTCATCACTAATCTGATGTCCCATTAACCAGTCATCACTAATCTGATGTCCCACTATCCAGTAACCACTAATCTGATTTCCCACTATCCAGTCATCACTAATCTGATGTCCCACTATCCAGTCACCACTAATCTGATGTCCCACTATCCAGTCATCACTAATCTGATGTCCCACTATCCAGTAACCACTAATCTGATGTCCCACTATCCAGTCACCACTAATCTGATTTCCCACTATCCAGTCATCACTAATCTGATGTCCCACTATCCAGTCACCACTAATCTGATTTCCCACTATCCAGTCATCACTAATCTGATGTCCCACTATCCAGTCACCACTAATCTGATTTCCCACTATCCAGTCACCACTAATCTGATGTCCCACTATCCAGTAACCACTAATCTGATGTCCCACTATCCAGTAACCACTAATCTGATGTCCCATTAACCAGTCATCACTAATCTGATGTCCCACTATCCAGTAACCACTAATCTGATGTCCCACTATCCAGGCACCATTAATCTGATGTCCCACTATCCAGTCACCACTAATCTGATGTCCCATTAACCAGTCATCACTAATCTGATGTCCCACTATCCAGTCACCACTAATCTGATGTCCCACTATCCAGTAACCACTAATCTGATGTCCCACTATCCAGTCATCACTAATCTGATGTCCCACTATCCAGTAACCACTAATCTGATGTCCCATTAACCAGTCATCACTAATCTGATGTCCCACTATCCAGTAACCACTAATCTGATGTCCCACTATCCAGTCACCATTAATCTGATGTCCCACTATCCAGTCATCACTAATCTGATGTCCCACTATCCAGTAACCACTAATCTGATGTCCCACTATCCAGTAACCACTAATCTGATGTCCCACTATCCAGTCACCACTAATCTGATGTCCCACTATCCAGTAACCACTAATCTGATGTCCCACTATCCAGTCATCACTAATCTGATGTCCCATTAACCAGTCATCACTAATCTGATGTCCCACTATCCAGTAACCACTAATCTGATTTCCCACTATCCAGTCATCACTAATCTGATGTCCCACTATCCAGTCACCACTAATCTGATGTCCCACTATCCAGTCATCACTAATCTGATGTCCCACTATCCAGTAACCACTAATCTGATGTCCCACTATCCAGTCACCACTAATCTGATTTCCCACTATCCAGTCATCACTAATCTGATGTCCCACTATCCAGTCACCACTAATCTGATTTCCCACTATCCAGTCATCACTAATCTGATGTCCCACTATCCAGTCACCACTAATCTGATTTCCCACTATCCAGTCATCACTAATCTGATGTCCCACTATCCAGTCACCACTAATCTGATTTCCCACTATCCAGTCATCACTAATCTGATGTCCCACTATCCAGTAACCACTAATCTGATGTCCCACTATCCAGTAACCACTAATCTGATGTCCCACTATCCAGTAACCACTAATCTGATGTCCCACTATCCAGTCATCACTAATCTGATGTCCCATTAACCAGTCATCACTAATCTGATGTCCCACTATCCAGTAACCACTAATCTGATTTCCCACTATCCAGTAACCACTAATCTGATGTCCCACTATCCAGTCACCACTAATCTGATGTCCCACTATCCAGTAACCACTAATCTGATGTCCCACTATCCAGTCACCACTAATCTGATGTCCCACTATCCAGTCACCATTAATCTGATGTCCCACTATCCAGTCATCACTAATCTGATGTCCCACTATCCAGTAACCACTAATCTGATGTCCCACTATCCAGTAACCACTAATCTGATGTCCCACTATCCAGTCACCACTAATCTGATGTCCCACTATCCAGTCATCACTAATCTGATGTCCCACTATCCAGTCATCACTAATCTGATGTCCCACTATCCAGTCACTAATATCTTCAAATCTTTTAGATAAATAGTTAGAATTTGATGTGAATACTGTACGATTAAATCTCTTTGTGACTTACAATATTGCTATTGGTTGGTTCGCTATATTTGTTGGTTGCAAATCGAGCCAGGCCGTCCTTGAAGAGGAATATCCTCAGCGGATCACAGGAGGTGACTAGGCAATAGATTCTTAAGTCAAATTTAAATCCGTCTAGTAATAAAGGCTGCGAAAGAAAAACAACTAGAATTAGTATTACACTGATATCACCGAACACACAGACCCTAGTTAATCTGATTTTCACTGTGAAGATCACCCAGAGTACATCAAATTATCAATCCATACTTACAAATCTTATCTGATTTGTTTAAATTGTTTAAAACAAATTATGCTCAAAAATGTTTTTATCTATATACCGTAAACACTTAAAGACAAAAATAAACTTTACCTGATCTACCTTTACAGTCAAGAAATTTATCATTTTGGTAAAACACGTTAAGACTATGCCATCCATTGAGATTGGTGAAAAGAAGAATTTTTAAATTTCAGTTAATTTGATCCCTTTTGGCCCTGCCCGTCAAGATCCTTTGCGGGTTGGGGTGGGAAAGGGACCAAAAAATCATTATGTTTCATTCACTTTTATTCAAGGAAGGTTTCTACCAAATTTCATAGAAATATACATGTACTGGTAATGTACTGTACTTACACATGTACTGGTAATGTACTGTCCTTACACATGTACTGGTAATGTACTGTCCTTACCTTACACATGTACTGGTAATGTACTGTCCTTACACATGTACTGGTAATGTACTGTCCTTACACATGTACTGGTAATGTACTGTCCTTACACATGTACTGGTAATGTACTGTCCTCTGTCCTTACACATGTACTGGTAATGTACTGTCCTTACACATGTACTGGTAATGTACTGTCCTTACACATGTACTGGTAATGTACTGTCCTTACCTTACACATGTACTGGTAATGTACTGTCCTTACACATGTACTGGTAATGTACTGTCCTTACCTTACACATGTACTGGTAATGTACTGTCCTTACTTTACACATGTACTGGTACTCTACTGTCCTTACCTTACACATGTACTGGTACTCTACTGTCCTTACTTTACACATGTACTGGTACTCTACTGTCCTTACCTTACACATGTACTGGTACTCTACTGTCCTTACCTTACACATGTACTGGTACTCTACTGTCCTTACTTTACACATGTACTGGTACTCTACTGTCCTTACCTTACACATGTACTGGTAATGTACTGTCCTTACCTTACACATGTACTGGTACTCTACTGTCCTTACCTTACACATGTACTGGTACTCTACTGTCCTTACCTTACACATGTACTGGTACTCTACTGTCCTTACTTTACACATGTACTGGTACTCTACTGTCCTTACCTTACACATGTACTGGTACTCTACTGTCCTTACCTTACACATGTACTGGTAATGTACTGTCCTTACCTTACACATGTACTGGTACTCTACTGTCCTTACCTTACACATTTACTGGTACTCTACTGTCCTTACCTTACACATGTACTGGTACTCTACTGTCCTTACTTTACACATGTACTGGTACTCTACTGTCCTTACCTTACACATGTACTGGTACTCTACTGTCCTTACCTTACACATGTACTGGTACTCTACTGTCCTTACCTTACACATGTACTGGTACTCTACTGTCCTTACCTTACACATGTACTGGTACTCTACTGTCCTTACCTTACACATGTACTGCTGACATATCATATGTTCGTGTGGTTTGATTTCTTTGGGGTTCTTGGTGACCCAGATTCCTTTCCCCTGACAACCTGTTTCTGGCTTAAGGATGTAGGTCTTGTTTTTCTTCTGTCTTGTGAAGGCCAGGAAATCTCCATGACTGAGGAAAATCAGAAATCATATTAAAGTAGTTCTCTATGGCCATCTTTGTGTTGATATCACAACAAAATATTTCCCTGGTAAAAGATAAAAAATCTCACTTGTCTAGTTGTGAAGTTGATAATTGTCAACATCTCTTGAAAATCTCACCATTGTCAAAAGCATAGTCTGGTAGTTGAAAGATGAATCTTTGTGAAGTTATCTTCAAAAGTTTTCAAAGCAACATACTTCCTGAAGTCATTTGTTTACATGGTAACAAGTAACAATAGCAAAAGACACTTTTAGACATAAAATTAATCAGAAATATTGTGAAGTGATCTGTGAGGTTGTGATATAAGGTAATTTTATTGATATTTATTACTCTAGGGAAAACAACATTTGAAATGGCTGGACCAGTTGAATTTGCGAAAAAAAAAAAAAACCTGCCAGGCACAGATCCGGACCAAGGCTGGACTGCAGTATATATATGGGACATGCAAATTTAACAGTCCAGCCATACCTGTCCCAAACTAATTTGCTGAATATCATTGGTTTTGAAAATTTTTGCATAAAAGGTAGAGTTGATGCACTCTTTCTGGAAGCATTGTGCTATAAAATATGTGTGAAGTGGGATGGTATCATAATTTTAGGTAACTGTTTTATGAATGAGGGGAAATTCTGAAACTGTGTATTTTGAGCTTTACATATATGAGGTATAACATTGGTACATGTGCGTTTGTGTAGAGTGGAATTAACTCCAGACCACTTGAACGTTTCGACTGGGTTAGGCAAAAGCAGCCCATGTTTTACATACTGTATATATAAAATACACAGAGAATACACAGTCAATGTCAACTGGTAAGGCTGAATAGAGTGGTGAAGCTCTAGTGTCCGTCAGTGTCTATAACACCAAGTCATTCTCTCACTGTACACTTACTCAGCAGGAAGACACCAGGTTTTCGGGAATACATTGTAATCTTTAGGGAACAATTTCAGCATTCTGTTCATGTTTCTAGCCAGCATGTCTTTTCGACAAATTTCACTCATCCCAGGAAAATGGTTAATTTTCTGAAGAAGATACAGCCGTAAAAGATTCAATAAGACAACACAAAATTTCACCAACTTGTTTCTCCATGGTTACAGAAGGAATGAGTTTACATGAGAACAGATGGAGCAGTAAAACTGTCTGATGATTCCCTTCATTTTTATGTTTATTAATGCTGCATACAGGTTGTTGTGAGATATCAAAGAAAACTGTTATATCCTTATCTACTGATAACATATAGATATAATTCACAGTTTGTTGTACATAACTTCAATGTAAATGACAAGTAAATGACAAGTGTTTATAATAAATGTAAAATACAAAAACTACAATATGACAACAGCGATTATTGATGTTAAACTAAATTTTTTTTTTACTTAATGTTTTTTTTCAGAAATGAGATGATTACAGATTTATACAGTTGCATACAAATATTCATTATATCCAATCACCACATTTAAATGATAACAAATCAATAAAGTGATAAAAAAAAATTTAAAAATGACTCAATCAAAAGTACATAATTACATTGATTATTACTATATAAATAAGTTTTTTAAGTTATTATCTACCAGACATTACAACACTATTACTTTGTCTTTTATCTACCAGACATTACAACACTATTACTTTGTCTTTTATCTACCAGACATTACAACACTATTACTTTGTCTTTTACCTACCAGACATTACAACACTATTACTTTGTCTTTTATTTACCAGACATTACAACACTATTACTTTGTCTTGTTTTATGGGTTATGTATTTTTTCCAATTCAACAGTGGTATCTAATTCATGTAATCAGTAGTCAATGACAGAGAGAAAATTAGTCTACAGACAGAGAGAAAATCTGTCTACAGACAAGAGAAAATCTGTCTACAGACAAGAGAAAATCTGTCTACAGACAAGAGAAAATCTGTCTACAGACAAGAGAAAATCTGTCTACAGACAAGAGAAAATCTGTCTACAGACAAGAGAAAATATGTCTACAGACAAGAGAAAATCTGTCTACAGACAAGAGAAAATCTGTCTACAGACAAGAGAAAATCTGTCTACAGACAAGAGAAAATCTGTCTACAGACAAGAGAAAATCTGTCTACAGACAAGAGAAAATCTTATTACAGACAAGAGAAAATCTGTCTACAGACAAGAGAAAATCTGTCTACAGACAAGAGAAAATCTTATTACAGACAAGAGAAAATCTGTCTACAGACAAGAGAAAATCTTATTACAGACAAGAGAAAATCTGTCTACAGACAAGAGAAAATCTTATTACAGACAAGAGAAAATCTGTCTACAGACAAGAGAAAATCTGTCTACAGACAAGAGAAAATCTTATTACAGACAAGAGAAAATCTGTCTACAGACAAGAGAAAATCTTATTACAGACAAGAGAAAATCTGTCTACAGACAAGAGAAAATCTGTCTAAAGAGAAAATCTTATTACAGACAAGAGAAAATCTGTCTACAGACAAGAGAAAATCTGTCTACAGACAAGAGAAAATCTTATTACAGACAAGAGAAAATCTGTCTACAGACAAGAGAAAATCTGTCTACAGACAAGAGAAAATCTTCTGTCTATTACAGACAAGAGAAAATCTGTCTACAGACAAGAGAAAATCTGTCTACAGACAAGAGAAAATCTTATTACAGACAAGAGAAAATCTGTCTACAGACAAGAGAAAATCTTATTACAGACAAGAGAAAATCTGTCTACAGACAAGAGAAAATCTGTCTACAGACAAGAGAAAATCTGTCTACAGACAAGAGAAAATCTGTCTACAGACAAGAGAAAATCTACAGACAAGAGAAAATCTGTCTACAGACAAGAGAAAATCTTACAGACAAGAGAAAATCTGTCTACAGACAAGAGAAAATCTTCTGTCAGACAAGAGAAAATCTGTCTACAGACAAGAGAAAATCTGTCTACAGACAAGAGAAAATCTGTCTACAGACAAGAGAAAATCTGTCTACAGACAAGAGAAAATCTGTCTACAGACAAGAGAAAATCTTATTACAGACAAGAGAAAATCTGTCTACAGACAAGAGAAAATCTGTCTACAGACAAGAGAAAATCTGTCTACAGACAAGAGAAAATCTGTCTACAGACAAGAGAAAATCTGTCTACAGACAAGAGAAAATCTGTCTACAGACAAGAGAAAATCTGTCTACAGACAAGAGAAAATCTGTCTACAGACAAGAGAAAATCTGTCTACAGACAAGAGAAAATCTCTAACAGACAAGAGAAAATCTGTCTACAGACAAGAGAAAATCTTATTACAGACAAGAGAAAATCTGTCTACAGACAAGAGAAAATCTGTCTACAGACAAGAGAAAATCTGTCTACAGACAAGAGAAAATCTTATTACAGACAAGAGAAAATCTGTCTACAGACAAGAGAAAATCTTATTACAGAAAGAGAAAATCTGTCTACAGACAAGAGAAAATCTTACAGACAAGAGAAAATCTACAGACAAGAGAAAATCTTCTACAGACAAGAGAAAATCTACAGACAAGAGAAAATCTGTCTACAGACAAGAGAAAATCTTATTACAGACAAGAGAAAATCTGTCTACAGACAAGAGAAAATCTTATTACAGACAAGAGAAAATCTGATTACAGACAAGAGAAAATCTGTCTACAGACAAGAGAAAATCTTATTCTGTCTACAAGAGAAAATCTTATTACAAGAGAAAAATCTGTCTACAAGAGAAAATCTTAAGAGAAAAATCTGTCTAAAGACAAGAGAAAATCTGTCTTATTACAGACAAGAGAAAATCTGTCTATTACAGACAAGAGAAAATCTTATTACAGAGAAGAGAAAATCTAAAGACAAGAAAATCAACAGAGAAGAGAAAATCTGTCTACAGACAAGAGAAAATCTTATTACAGAGAAGAGAAAATCTGTCTAAAGACAAGAGAAAATCTTATTACAGACAAGAGAAAATCTGTCTACAGACAAGAGAAAATCTTATTACAGAGAAGAGAAAATCTGTCTAAAGACAAGAGAAAATCTTATTACAGAGAAGAGAAAATCTGTCTAAAGACAAGAGAAAATCTTATTACAGACAAGAGAAAATCTTATTACAGACAAGAGAAAATCTGTCTAAAGACAAGAGAAAATCTTATTACAGAGAAGAGAAAATCTGTCTAAAGACAAGAGAAAATCTTATTACAGAGAAGAGAAAATCTGTCTAAAGACAAGAGAAAATCTTATTACAGACAAGAGAAAATCTGTCTAAAGACAAGACTGTCTACAGACAAGAGAAAATCTGTCTAAAGACAAGAGAAAATCAAGAGAAAGAAAATCTTATCTACAGACAAGAGAAAATCTGTCTACAGACAAGAGAAAATCTGTCTACAGACAAGAGAAAATCTTATTACAGACAAGAGAAAATCTTATTACAGACAAGAGAAAATCTGTCTACAGACAAGAGAAAATCTTATTACAGACAAGAGAAAATCTGTCTACAGACAAGAGAAAATCTGTCTACAGACAAGAGAAAATCTTATTACAGACAAGAGAAAATCTGTCTACAGACAAGAGAAAATCTTATTACAGACAAGAGAAAATCTGTCTACAGACAAGAGAAAATCTTATTACAGACAAGAGAAAATCTTATTACAGACAAGAGAAAATCTTATTACAGACAAGAGAAAATCTTATTACAGACAAGAGAAAATCTGTCTACAGACAAGAGAAAATCTTATTACAGACAAGAGAAAATCTTATTACAGACAAGAGAAAATCTGTCTACAGACAAGAGAAAATCTTATTACAGACAAGAGAAAATCTGTCTACAGACAAGAGAAAATCTTATTACAGTCTACAGACAAGAGAAAATCAGTCTAAAGACAAGAGAAAATCTTATTACAGACAAGAGAAAATCTGTCTACAGACAAGAGAAAATCTTATTACAGACAAAGAAAATCTGTCTACAGACAAGAGAAAATCTGTCTAAAGACAAGAGAAAATCTGTCTACAGACAAGAGAAAATCTTATTACAGACAAGAGAAAATCTGTCTACAGACAAGAGAAAATCTTATTACAGACAAGAGAAAATCTTATTACAGACAAGAGAAAATATTTCTACAGACAAGAGAAAATCTGTCTACAGACAAGAGAAAATCTTATTACAGACAAGAGAAAAATCTTATTACAGACAAGAGAAAATCTGTCTACAGACAAGAGAAAATCTTATTACAGACAAGAGAAAATCTGTCTACAGACAAGAGAAAATCTGTCTACAGACAAGAGAAAATCTGTCTAAAGACAAGAGAAAATCTGTCTACAGACAAGAGGAAGTCTGTCTTCTGACATGTGATAGAGTCTACAGTCGAGCATATTTTTGATACAGAGACAATCTGTCTACAGACAAGTATTAAGTAATGTACCTGGTACTTCTTCATGTCCATCACACGTTCCAGTGCCACAGAATAATCGGTCCAATAGAGAGTCCAGTCTTCATCTTCTCCAACCTCCTTAAATCCAAACTTTCGGGATACCTTACGTACTGTAACAAGTCAAAATAACTAATTATCTACACATTGTTTAAAATAAGCTTATGTAACTAGTTTTACATAATGCAAATAGAATTCAAGAAAAGGTTACAGTTTTTGTTGTTTCCCAACAACTGGTGTAAAGAACTGGTAACCCCAAAATATTTAGATAAGAGCAGTGTTGTGCACATCTAAACTTCATCACTAATCATTTGTGTGAAGTATCCTAAAAAAAAACCTGCCAAACAGCATCTGAATAAGTTTGGGGACACCAAGGTGAGTAAGACAGATGGACAATGTCTGTTTTATCATTTTAGGTTTCAGAAATACAAAAATGTTTTTGAAAAAATGCTGTGTTACCATACATCACCTGATATTCTCATTTAAACCTGTTACTTAAAGTCAACACAGTAAATAACAGGTTTTCATATTTTCCACATCTTTCTTAGGCCAACTCATTTTGGAACACCTGATCAAGAGTTATCTTCCAATGCTATCAAAAGGCATTCAGATACCGGTAGACTCTTCTTGTTTGTTCATGTGGTTGAAATAACAATATATAAGCAAATAGCAGGGTTTTGAAATTAATAGGGATCAAAACATTAGAATTTTAGTGCAGGCAATACTGTATTTGATTACTCTTTACAACCATAACTAGGGTCTTAAGTTTACAACCATAACTAGGGTCTTAAGTTTACAACCATAACTAGGTTCTTAAGTTAACAACCATAACTAGGGTCTTAAGTTTACAACCATATCTTGGGTCTTAAGTTTACAACCATATCTAGGGTCTTAAGTTTACAACCATATCTAGGGTCTTAAGTTTACAACCATATCTAGGGTCTTAAGTTTCAAATACAAACAAAATATGTACATGTGATAAAGAATAAGACAGATTACTATGTTCCTGTGGAATTGCACTGATACAACTAAATTTAAGATAAGAAGTTGAAATGTTGAATAAAATTTTCTCCTTTTTTTTTATCTCTGATGAAAATTCATTTTCATAAGTTAAACCTAAATAAGTGTCTGTAATTTGATACATATTCCCTAATTATCACCAGAGATAGCCCAGCCAAATTTGTACCAATCCAAAGTATCGGGAATGTATCAAGCCACCAACCAGTGCTGTAGTAGTGAAATCAACCAAAACATTGGCAGTAGGTGCAAATTATATAAATCTTATTCCTTAATATACATGTAGTCCAAACAAGAACAAACATGAATGACGAATGTTAAATGTTACCAACATTTTAACAGCCAATAAAGTATCAGTTATTTACTTCAAATTATTTTGATAAAAGCCCAGGTTTATTTCAGCAAAATAATTTCCTTTTCCAAAAGTGTTGTTTTAAACCAACACACCTGTAAGTGACTTTAGATGATACTTCTCCTACAACAGTTATGACTAGATTCCCACTAGCTGATCACTACAAACTTTGCCTCGGGTAAATATTAAGTATATACGTACCAACTTCATACTTGCAGTTGGCAAGGCAGATGTAGTATATTCTGAAAAAAAGGGAAATACACAAATTTTCAATAAGTAGCGTTTACTATACAGGGACCTCTGTATATAGGTCCAAAATATATACAGATCATACAGGGACCTCTGTATATAGGTCCAAAATATACACAGATCATACAGGGACCTCTGTATATAGGTCCAAAATATACACAGATCATACAGGGACCTCTGTATATAGGTCCAAAATATATACAGATCATACCAACTTATGTTCTTGGTTTAAAATCTAATTGTGACAAGATTTCTCAAACCCCATTAAGTAGCACAAAATTCTACAACATCCCTGGATGATATATCATACGTAATTATATCATAAATTTTGCTACAGTAATACTTATAAAACCTGAGTTCCCAATGCGATCTTGGTGCCCACCATACTGTCCACAGCATGATCTTTATCTAGCATTTCTTCATAACTTGAATCTTTCCTCTTATTTGCTCTCAATCATATATATCTTATTGACAGGTGCTTTAACTATTTGCTAACATTAGTCCATAAGATGCAGAGCAGAATTGAAAGGACCAAAGAACATCTACATATGAGTTTTTAGAAAAATCCATTCAGAACTTTGTGTGCAGCACACTTTAACTCTCTTAAATAAAGATCAGATCAATTACTTCTCTGATCAGTCTTAAAATCAAAACGGCACAACTAGGGACCAAGGGAAACCTGCATATGAAATTTGGGAAAGTACCAATCAGCAATGGCTGGACGACAGATAGACAGATGACTGACCACCGATGCAGGCCAATTGGAATAGTCATTCATCTGATGACGGTAGTCTTCAAATATCAAGTATCAAAGTAAAAAATACAAGCAATGAAAAATAGTACACATATTCGACAGGTTCCAACTAGGAGTGTTGGACAGTATTTCCTCAGAGACCATTTTACACATATGTTTATTTTACACATATGTTTATTTTACACATATGTTTATTTTTTTACTAACAACACAACAGTCATGGATACACTTACTTTTTCTTTTTCTTCTTCTTTTTTGCTTTTTTTTCTAGTTCTTTCTTTTCAAGGTCAGCCTGCTGTAGCTGTTCTGTGCGACTAGTGCCCTCCCCTTCATATTCTGACACGTCATCAGCCTGTGTGCTTATACCAGTATCTACAAGTCACAACAGATGGTAAACACTATTATATTCACTCTTCACTCAACATTTTCATCTATATTTTGTCACCAAATTATTTTTTTCAATCCTTTATAAATTATTCATAATTAAAACCTGTTTGATTTCCTATATTTTCCTCTCACAGCTGAATTCTGCTTGTTCAAGGTCTCAAATAAAATAGATGGAATTTTTTTTCGAATTTTAATTGAAATGGCAACACTCTATTGCTGATGTGAAATAGAGGTCAAGAGAGGACGAGTGTACAAGAAACGGAAAGAAGAAACTGTACAGAAAGCAAGAATGAAGGGATCTGATTGGGTAAAATTTTAAAAATTTCCTTCAGCATCCTTAGGAAACACAGAACCAAATCAAAACAATCTTATATGTATGTTTGTATGCCTTGGGCAAAACTAATCAAAATTTGTTTCAACAGCCAAATTAAACAGTGAAGTATTTTATGGTTTATAATCAACAATTAAAGAAAAAGTGTTCACATTCATACAGGGGAAAAATTCCTTGATAAAAAAAACATTGAAATATAGGTCATGCATAATTAGGCTACTCAGAACTACAATATGAATGGCTTGACATTCACGATATTGTACTTGAATATTGAATAAAACAATTCTAACAATGAGCCAAATTATGGAGTTAAATGAAGCATAGGTTATGACAAAGGATCCAGAAATTATCTTCAAACATAACACCACAGCAATGACTTGTACAGGACATATCTCCATACAAAGTACACACATACATTATTAATTCCAAAAAAATACTTGTATCAATTTCAATAAATTAATCTTCGTTTACTAACTAAAGACAGATGATTGCTAATTCTTAATAACTTTAGCTGCAGCCAGTCAAAGTTTATAATTTGCCAACTATTGTTTAAACTGTGAATTCCAACCAAGACAAAATGACAGACTACAAAAATACCAACATGTACACAATATGTATGTTGAATGGATAGACGGTAGACTCTGGTCTATTTCCAAACATCTCGTGATAGATAATATACCATGAGCCTTAGTATCAGTCGGCAGTTTTAAATGGACGCCTTGTAACTACCTATATGAAGGACAATAAGACGAAGTCCTCCGACGGTAATCTTGAAACACCATCTGTTATGACACAGCAGACCTGAAATCTACACCCTTAACATATAACAACATGTGTGACTTATCAGTAAACATGTCTTTATTGTTAGAATGATTGTCCTACATGTATACACAAGACCTATCAGAATACCATAATAGTCTTTTATCTACCTGGATAATTAACTTTTAAAATTAGATAGTATTGAAGCGTATTTTAATTCAATATAACAAAAGGAATCTACTTCCTTTCACAATGTACAGTTTAATTGACAAGCTTTATACAATATTATCATTTAATTTAGTAACTATCACAAACACAATCAGATTTATCTACAAAGTACAGTCATTTCATTTGAGTGAATATATAATCAATTAAATGGGTGTTATATACAAACAGAAATATTTTACAGATATTTAATTCTAAACGAGTAGCCTCTTTATTTATCCAGAAAATACATGTACAACATGTTAACAAAAATAAGATAAATAAATATCTGACTTTATGTATTCAAACCATAAATTACACTAAAAAATATGCCTTTTTTCCCCAAAAAACAATACCAAAATTCCTAGTAAATTTAAATAAACACCATATATATATTGTTGTCAAGTTTAAATATTGAAGTAAGTTAAAACATGAAATAAAGCTTCTTGACACTTGGAAACGAGTCTACCTTTTTATGATCGGATAAAATACAAATTGATTTTGTCAGATCACAGGTAAGTCCTGTCAGAGATAATTACAGCCAGTAACGATGATAAGAGGATGTTTGCTATTGATTACCATGAGAAGAGAAAGTTGTAAGTAATATAAAGAAATGTCTTCATATCTTTCAATAACAGGACCTCATTCAATATTGGGATTCCAAGCAAAGAAATAATTCGGTTTCCTAGAAGAGAAGAATTATAACAAGGTGCATGATGGTCCAGTGCTCATCACTAACCTTGTTTCTCTTCATTAGGAGTCATTACCGCAGTATTTCTTGATTGTCAATGTATCAGTGATTGTCAGATTTGTTATATGGTAGAGAATTCAACAGTGAAGTCCCCATGTAATGGAGGAACAACTGATTCAATATGGATCAACCAAGAACAGAACCTAAACAACCATTACCAGAACATGAACAAATAGGACCAGAACCTGAACATCTAGGACCAGAACTTGAACAACTATGACTAGACCCTGAACAACCAAGACAAGAACCTGAAAGAACCTGAACATCTAGGACCAGAACCTGAACATCTAGGACCAGAACCTGAACATCTAGGACCAGAACCTGATCAACTAGGGGTTGATCCCAAGTATAGTCCTAAATTAGAGAGCGGGTTTAATATATGGTTAACATTACAGGGTAGGGATCTCAGCTTCAAGTCTAACACACCTTTAAAACCATCAATAAACATTCATCATTTTCATTTTACATAATTGATATAAATCAAAATTTTACATAACAGTTTATTCAACTGATTTCCATCCGTGTACAATATGTGATGATTCTAACACACTTAAATGAAAATATCTTCAACCAAAGAAATAAATACAATCAAAACCCTGCTCAATATACAATCAAACCCTGCTCAATATACAATCAAAACCCTGCTCAATATACAATCAAACCCTGCTCAATATACAATCAAAACCCTGCTCAATATACAATCAAACCCTGCTCAATATACAATCAAAACCCTGCTCAATATACAATCAAAACCCTGCTCAATATACAATCAAAACCCTCCTCAATATACCATCAAAACCCTGCTCAATATACAATCAAAACCCTGCTCAATATACAATCAAAACCCTGCTCAATATACAATCAAAACCCTCCTCAATATACCATCAAAACCCTGCTCAATATACAATCAAAACCCTGCTCAATATACAATCAAAACCCTGCTCAATATACAATCAAACCCTGCTCAATATACCATCAAAACCCTGCTCAATATACAATGAAAACCCTCCTCAATATACAATGACAACCCTCCTCAATATACAATCAAAACCCTGCTCAATATACAATCAAACCCTGCTCAATATACAATCAAACCCTGCTCAATATACAATCAAACCCTGCTCAATATACAATCAAAACCCTGCTCAATATACAATCAAACCCTGCTCAATATACAATCAAAACCCTGCTCAATATACCATCAAAACCCTGCTCAATATATAATGAAAACCCTCCTCAATATACAATCAAACCCTGCTCAATATACCATCAAAACCCTGCTCAATATACAATGAAAACCCTCCTCAATATACAATGACAACCCTCCTCAATATACAATCAAACCCTGCTCAATATACAATCAAAACCCTGCTCAATATACCATCAAAACCCTGCTCAATATACAATGAAAACCCTGCTCAATATACAATGAAAACCCTGCTCAATCCTTATATAGACAGTTTTGATCTCCGTTATTGACAGTTCTTAAAATAGAATTGACATTTGGATGATATAATGTTGTTTCTAAGTCTACAATTATGGACATATATATACCACTGATGTAATTTTCAATATGTAAGACATATATATCATTATGTTACAATAAAGCTCACCCTCATCTCCGTCACCTTCACCTTCCATTTCAAGTGGCTGTTGGACCAGGATTGACTCGCCATCCATGAGGGACAGCTCCGGAACAACTCCAACACCATCATTGTTGTCATAACCAGAATCAGTTCCATCTGGATCTGCTTCCGGGTCACTGTCAGACTCGGAATCTGACACTCCAGAAACAGCTTCTTCCTCTTGCTGGTCACGAAAAGTGGACTCGCCTACCTCACTTTGGTCCTCTCCATCATCAGACTGATCACCTCTGTCATACGGACTGTCCATACTGGTCGTGTGTGTCTTTGTCACGTCAAGCTGGCTAACCTGCAGGGATATTTATTGTCCTATGAGTATCAGTCACTAAACTTGATAATTGATGAAACTACCAGTAACCTATCAATAATGAAAGCCAGGTTTCAACAATTGCTACAGTGGTTGTCCTAAGCCTACCCTCTTACTTCCTGTTTGATTTGGTTCCTTCATCTAATTGATATCAGGGAAGTATTCATGTCATTGTAAACATTCCGTCATTACAATTTGTTTATAGAGAGTTTACATGAGCTTTTGTTTGGGGGGACATTATATTAATAACTAAAAAATTGTCAAGACCCAAAATACAAAACATGGTAACTATTAGAATAATGTAGACAGAAATAAATGTCTACAATGCAGGATAACAATATATTATGTACAATATGTTATTTGTGTTTCCAATTTTACAAAATCCCTTTGTCATACTTTTTATAAGAATGCTATGTGAGATTCTTGAATAAATCTACAGTTGTACATATGTAACAGTTTGAGCCAGAAGTTGAACAAATTGATTTTACAAATTCTCTTCAGAACTTGAAAATCATGGACACTCAATAGCTAGTGTTGATCTTTGCTTAAAATGTGGCTATCCACAAACTTAACACTTATCAAAAGATTTTGAATCTCATCATTTTTTTTTTTTTTTTATATTCTGTATTCCTTGTCTGAATTATTCTAAAGTTCTATCAATAAACTTTACATCACAACAATTTAGTGAATTTACTCACTCAACCAAAGGTGAAAAGAACCTTGCACGTTCAATTTTGATTTCCAATTCATATCTCTGTTTTATCACAATATTGATTGCCACTTCACCTTATAATTTTATCCTCCTGAAATCACCAATATAATAAGTCTATCGAAAGTGTTGTTTAATTGTTGGTGTGGACACTGTTGATATCGGAGCACCAACAGGCTAAGTCTCGGTCTGAAAAGTACCAAGGGAAGAAACTCTGTATTTCATGACAATATCGGGGAATGTGAAAAGAGTCCATGAATTAATAATGAGGAAAGTTAAAGTGATGAGAGGAGATAACATTGATTATTATATAATTCTTGAAATAGATTCACAGTCCTATGAAAACAGAACTGTTGCATCATTTTATTTTAAGACACTTGAAATTTCTGGCAAACATTTTTGATATCCTTCCAACATATCAGTGATATTATTACAATATACTTTACAAACATACATCTATAATATTAACTATATTTATCACATGATTACTTAATTCTTGAAATAGGTTTCCCCAAAAAATTGGGATGACATAATTTTGTGTCATAATTTTATAACACAAAATGTATGTGAAATGACAATTTTTGTGAAAAAAGAAACAAAAACAGAAAAAAAGATAATATCATAAACCAAATAAAACTGCAGAAATGGCTTGTGGCCTTAAACTGAGAAGGGAACTTATATCATAATAAATATGGTAACAAATCTCATGATCAAACCAGCTTACCATGTGTTGAAACAATTCCTGAGCTTTATCAACTTAAAATCTTGTGCGATTCTTCTGTATATTCTCTTATATTCTTACACATTCAAAAACTGTTTGTATTCAAACATTCAAACTTGAAATAGCCTACACTGAATTCAGCTTTGCAATTGTAAGTTATTTTCCAAGTTTTAAGGTTGACACATCGAACAGCAATAATCTCATCTTAATTCACATTGAAATTTACATCCTGTTAAGGAAATGATATTTCATATACACAAAAATTAGTCATACAATTTGAAATAACATATGTTTCAGTGGAAACAATTCCAGCTGAGGTAAGTCATTATCACCAGACTGACTACTCCTGAGTAACACCTGGGTCAGAACCAAAAACATAATATGCGATATTCCTGGTGGAGTGTTCATGCATACATATGTGTGGTAAAGTTCTGGCAGAATAATATTCTTAAACATTGACATGAATTTGATATATTGATATACCATTGTGTGGAGAGATGTAGGGACCTTGTATTATGTACAGGCCATTAGGATAGACCAGAAATGAGCTGGCATTTCTCCAGCAGGTGAGACCCAATATACACATATATAAATATCTGTATCAAAGCTTTAGCCAATATGTGCTGTATTTAACATTTAAAGGAATCCATATTGTAAAATACCAAGTTATATATACCAACCTTATCATTAGTATTGATTCTTGTGACTGACTGGGAATCTAATACGCCACCTGTATGTATACTGGACAGGTAACAGTCATCCCTGTATGTACACAGGACAGGTAACAGTCATCCCTGTATGTATACAGGACAGGTAACAGTCATCCCTGTATGTATACAGGACAGGTAACAGTCCTCCCTGTATGTATACTGGACAGGTAACAGTCCTCCCTGTATGTACACAGGACAGGTAACAGTCCTCCCTGTATGTATACTGGACAGGTAACAGTCATCCCTGTATGTACACAGGACAGGTAACAGTCATCCCTGTATGTATACTGGACAGGTAACAGTCCTCCCTGTATGTACACAGGACAGGTAACAGTCATCCCTGTATGTATACTGGACAGGTAACAGTCATCCCTGTATGTACACAGGACAGGTAACAGTCCTACCTGTATGTACACAGGACAGGTAACAGTCCTCCCTGTATGTACACAGGACAGGTAACAGTCATCCCTATATGTACACAGGACAGGTAACAGTCCTCCCTGTATGTATACAGGACAGGTAACAGTCATCCCTGTATGTATACTGGACAGGTAACAGTCATCCCTGTATGTACACAGGACAGGTAACAGTCCTACCTGTATGTACACAGGACAGGTAACAGTCCTCCCTGTATGTACACAGGACAGGTAACAGTCATCCCTGTATGTACACAGGACAGGTAACAGTCATCCCTGTATGTATACTGGACAGGTAACAGTCCTCCCTGTATGTATACAGGACAGGTAACAGTCCTCCCTGTATGTACACAGGACAGGTAACAGTCATCCCTGTATGTACACGGGACAGGTAACAGTCATCCCTGTATGTATACAGGACAGGTAACAGTCCTCCCTGTATGTATACGGGACAGGTAACAGTCATCCCTGTATGTACACAGGACAGGTAACAGTCCTCCCTGTATGTACACAGGACAGGTAACAGTCATCCCTGTATGTACACAGGACAGGTAACAGTCCTCCCTGTATGTATACTGGACAGGTAACAGTCACCCACATAAAAAGAAGAACCTCCTGTGTTGGACTCATTCCTATCAGCTTTATTACATGGATTCCCAAGCGGGACCTCATGTATACATTTGTATCCCAAGAGGGTTTGTCAGGATTGAAACCATTTAGACATTGAGTGACATTGTGCCACCAACCGTCATCCCCACCCTAATGATTAAATAATTGGTGTTTAATGCTCACTTTAATGGTGCAAATGCTAATTTATGTTCAAAAGAAAAGATGTGTTAAGTTCAAACAGGTTCAGCAATACTTATTTCATTGTGTCAAGGTTGACCATATAAGATTTATCATATATTTTAAAAAAATTATTACACAAGGAACATACCCGTTTGCATGTCATATTGAATTAGTCAACACTCATCTAACAAACTGAAATGAAAATTGCCTGAACTCTGCAGTTGTATGTCACACCCAAGGATTTTATTATCTAAAAAATTCAATTTGATACAGATCTGGGTGGGAACGTAAGAACATATACAAATTTTTGTTGCTTCTAAATCAATAATTTGATGCTGCACCACAGAAATACAATGTGTGACTACAAATCCCAAGGCCTTTTTACACTTTTTTCGGATAGGGCATTTTTGCCTCATTTTGAGAAGATAATTGGTAAATTGAGAAGGAAATTTACATGAGTGAATTGCAAATTGGGTAACTTTGCATAAATATGAAATAATTTCAATTGAGAATTCAAATGAGCCCAACCTCGGCCAAAAAAAGCCATAAGAAAAAGAAAAATACAAAAGAAAATTAGATATTCATTTAAGGTGTAAAATTTTAAAAATATTTAGGCCAAGATTTGTTTTGAACCATGACTATCAAAACATATTTTGATGTTTCGTGTTGATATTTGCAGAATTGGTTTTTATTGAGAGTTGAATTTCTTTTGATCACCAGCAATACATGTTTGCATTGTGTAGCAAACTCACGAGCAACATCTTCATACAATGACCTTAAAATATTTGTGACATCAAAAGATATTGTTTATAACATCACAATACATTACTGTAACTAATTTCATAAATACTGACATGAGATATGGTACATAGGTGTATTATGTTCACATTTACATCATATCTTTTGATGCCGCTAGCTTTATTGAAAATGTTTTAAGATGCAGTCTGAAGACGCTTTCCCTGTTATAAATTAAGCTTTGATAGCAATATTTTTCAGTTGCATGCTGGTAAGAAAGAAAAACTTTTTTACAAACTTATTATATATGTTTGATTATTTTGTATTTTGACTACTTTATGATGTTGCAGTCCATTTCAACAAATCAGAAAGCTGCATTTTGCATACAAACAACAAAAAATTAATTATTGCTATTTGTATAAAACATACACATGGGTACTCATGTCTGCCAAGCTGCTAATCTCACTGTAGTAAAACCATTACAGCTTGATTTTGGATAGTTACTGCCACCTTCATTCCCCTAACCCCACCACTTCATCAAATTAAACCCAAACTCCAACCAAAATCATAATAACATTGTAAAGCTTGAAACATTTTCTTTCCTGTACTTCAAAAGTTTGAAAACGAATACACCTTCACCACACCACAGGTATTACTAGCCCCATATCTTAACATTTGTCAATATTCTCATTAACATTGGGACATAAGTGATTTTACATCCAAGGATATGTACGTTACACTGCACAATGCATGGTCACACATGTAAAGACTGGCACACGTTCTCCGATATCTCGGTCAACAGTTGCCTGAGAAATTTCTGTTGGTGTTTAGTATTTCTTTTCTCCAGAGATGCAAACTTATTA